AACCACTACACAACCACAACACAACCACAACACAATCACAACACAACCACAACACAAACACACAAACACAACACAACCACAACACAACCACACACAACCACAACACACTACAACCACAACACAACCACAACACAACCACAACACAACATAACCACAACACAACCACAACACAACAACAACCACAATACAATCACAACACAACCACAACAACCACAACACAACACAACACAACCACAACACAACCACAACACAACCACAAGAACAAAACAAATATTGAGAGATCATAGACTAATTAGAAAATAATATAAATAATCTTAACATTGTTCTATTTTACTTATGAACCGTAACATATAATAATCAATGTGGATGTAATAAAAAAAATTAACGTAAATTATTGAGAGTGAGTTGAATATTAAAAACACGTTTTCCCGTACGTCCGCGTCCAGAGAGAGCCTTTCCATTATTCTCAAAAAGTCTAATTTCACCATCTGTTTTCTTAACACCGAAAAACAAAAGCAAAAAAAAAAATTCATAAAAAACGTTTTAATAACAAGCTTTTATGTAATGATGCACTAAAAAGTAGAAAATAAATTATAGACTACTATTTAAATAACTATAAAGAAAAGCGTGGGTCACTTTAGTATCTATTGGATACCTTTACTAATGTTAAGGAAGACACCCACGCTTTTCTTTATAGTTATTTAAATAGTAGTCTATAATTTATTTTCTACTTTTTAGTGCATCATTACATAAAAGCTTGTTATTAAAACGTTTTTTATGAATTTTTTTTTCAGTACTTTACATGTTTTATCTACAATAGAGTTACATGACTAAAAACCATTGCGCGCCTACTGAATATCACGTTCAGTAGGCGCGCAATGGTTTTTGAACGCAGCCATTACGTGGTCGTGATGGCGCAGCTATTGATGACGCGTGTGGTGTGGTTGGCTAGACATGCCTACTAATTCGGTCCAAATTTTAATTAATTCATAAAAAATCAATTAGGCATCCAATTAAGTCAAATTTAGTTTCAGATTGCATTGTCTTCATGTCTTGACCCACGTGCCAACTGTGAATCGTGTCGGTCAAGTAGAACTGTCCGAATTTTCACTCCTGCGTTTCCGTCTAGACTGACGACAGACTGTCGACTGACGACTTACGACAGAGGAAGTGAGTTAAATAAAAGCTTGTAAAAATAGTGATTTTGAGAAATCATAGACTAATTAGAAAATAATAATAAATAATATAAATAATCTTAACATTTTTCTCTTTTAATTATGAACCTTAACATATAATAATCAATGCAGTAGTAATAAAAAAAGATTAACTTAAATTATTGATGAGTTAAATATATTTTAAAATTACCTCCCTTGCAAAAATTACCAAAAAAAAGTTGAAATAATTAGTTTTTTCGACCTATTTTTATAAAAATTTATCCATTTTTACTAGGATTATAAACGCAAATAATATTTGACATTGATCTTTTAATATGTTTTAGCAAAGTGCGTGTATTTAATATTTTCTTAACGTTATGCAAAAAAATAAAAACAGTGGCAATTATAAAATAGCTTTATGCTGTTATATAAACAAACCCTTCTCTATTGCTTATTATGAGCCACTGCCGTGCACTGAAAAGCACAACATTGTGCAAAGATTACTTTCATGGTTCCAAAAGCTAAAGCTATATATATATATATATATATATATATATATTTATATATATATATATATATATATATATATATATATATATATATATATATATATATATATATATATATATCATCAATAATAATAGTTTCGCTGTCTGTGTATCTATCTATCTTTCTGTGTATCTATGTATCTGACAAGAACGCTTTAGAGAAAACACAAGCAATTTAAAAACTTGCACAGTGAAACGAAAACGAAATATGACGTCATATAGTAGAAAATAATATCAAGCCGGAGAGTGCACACAGTAATATGTCGTCATTGATTCTCGAGTAAACATTGAATAAAAAGGCAATTTTGTCTAATCTAAGTGGTTTGCGTGAAGAGTTTCTTTCATACAGTTCTTCGGGTAGGGGCGAAGCCCCACCCCCGCGTAAGAACGTCTGAGCCCCCCCCCCCCTCCCAACTCAAAAGAAATTTCTTCATCGGTACTCTATAATAAAATTACCGCCTTATTAATGTGTCTAATCTAAAAAGTGGTTTTCTTGCAATTTCTTTAATGCAATTCTTCGCGTAGTGGCTAAGCGCTACACCAGTGTTTCTTTCAGACTTTTTCCTCCCCGGAGGGGTGAACTTTTTCTAATCTAAAAAGCGTTTAGCGTGCAGTTTTTTTTTTAAGCATCTCTTCCGGGAGGGGCGAAGCCCCGCCCAGATTCTTCCTTTAGTTTGTATGATCTACAAATGCGACCAGTGTTTCCTTCAGACTTTTTCCTCCCCGGAGAGGGGTGGGGGTACTTGAAATTTTTGGGGGCGGGGGTAGAATTTTCGGGGAGGGGGCGGACACTGGAAAAAGTATATAATTATATTTCGTTGAATGGGACGGTAGACATGTTTTGGAGTGTATGTGTGTGTGTGTGTGGGGGGGGGTTGGTTTTAGTTTAGAGAAAAAAGACAGCACTATGAACCTAGCGCCCGATATATCCTTCCTCAATGGGCCATTTTTCTCGTCTATAATAATAGTTTCGCTGTCTGTGTATCTATCTATCTGTGTATGTATGTATCTGACAAGAACGCTCTAGAGAAAACACAAGCAATTTAAAAACTTGCACAGTGAAACGAAAACGAAATATGACGTCATATAGTAGAAAATAATATCAAGCCGGAGAGTGCACACAGTAATATGACGTCATTGATTCTCGAGTAAACATTGAATAAAAAGGCAATTTTGTCTAATCTAAGTGGTTTGCGTGAAGAGTTTCTTTCATACAATTCTTCGGGTAGGGGCGAAGTTCCACCCTCGCGTAAGAACGTAACAGCCCCCCCCCTCCCCAACTCAAAGAAATTTCTTCATCGATACTCTATAATAAAATTACCGCCTAATTAATGTGTCTAACCTAAAAAGTGGTTTTCTTGCAATTTCTTTAATGCAATTCTTCGGGTAGTGGCTAAGCGCGACACCAGTGTTTCTTTCAGACTTTCTCCTCCCCGGAGAGGGTTGGGGGTACTTGAAATTTTTGGGGGCGGCGGTAGAATTTTCTGGGAGGGGGCGGACACTGGAAAAAGTATATGATTATATTTCGTTGAATGGGACGGTAGACATGTTTTGGAGTGTGTGTGGGGGGGGGGGGGCGAAGCCCCCTCCTCCCAAGTAGAGTTGCCTGAAAGAAACTCTAAATGCGACTTTTGTCATGAATGAGATTAGGTGCATGGTTTAGGGATATGCCTATGTCTATATTTTGTATAAATTAAAATACCGAGATAATAGACAGCACTATCAACCTAGCGCCCGTTATATCCTTCCTCAACGGGCCATTTTTCACGTATATATATATATATATATATATATATATATATATATATATTTGTAAACTATGGCTGAATTTTTAAGGAATTATAGAATTATAATAACATGTAAATACAAGTGATTAGAATATTTGTATTATTTTCAAACAACCTCTTTTTTTATAATGATTCTTGATCTTTGATTATTTGATTTAAAAAACGCAATTGATGATTTTAAATATTTTAAGCAGTAAAACCTTTTATTTTTTGCCATTAAAAATGGTACACATATTGTATGAAGTGAAGTTGCTAGGTATAGTTTATATTGGCGTAAATGAGGTTGATGTTTTTCTTTTTATAGATCCGTAAAATTGCATATTATAAATAGGATATATACAAATGTATACTTTTAATAATACTCTATAGTAACATAATAAATTACTTTTCTTTCCACGTTTTTTTTTCCAAAATTACCATCATTGTATATAAGAAAGGTAAATCTTAAGTCTTACAGTGTTATGAATTTTTATAACATACTTGTAAAACAAAACAAGAATCCTAAAACTTTCGAAAATCCTTTGTTTCGTCGTTATCAAATACGCAACATAAGATTTTGTACAGCTTATATCAGATTACTGCCAGAGCCCTCAAAATCTAAAGTTTGCCCAGCTCACATCAGTCTCTTAATTCCAACAGTTGAAAAGATTTTACGATCATATTGTAATACAGAAACAAGTTAATTAAAAAGTCTAGTGACATTTAAGCGCAATTTCCTTATGTTATCTAAAAATAGCTCTGTCGTAGCGTAAATCAAGAGCAGGGTTAGTAAAACCATTGGTTAGTTATTAAAACGTTTTTTATTAATTTTTTTTTCAGTATTTTACATGTTTTATTTACAATAGAGTTACATGACTAAAAACCATTGCTCGCCTAGCTACCGAACGTGATGGCGCAGCCATTGAACGTGATGGCGCAGCTATTGAACGTGATGACGCGTGTGGTGTGGTTGGATAAACATGCCTACTAATTCGGTCCAAATTTTAATTAATTCAAAAAATGTTTGGGACCAAACGAAAGGATATTTTTGAAAACTTTCTTCGGCAATATTATTCTCAATTATGGCAGGAATTGATTGGTACATGTTTCAAGTCGCTAAGTGGTCTGGTTGCCGAGATATGGGCCAAAAACTGCATTTTTTTGAGGAAATCCATGAAAGAAACCCGGAATTTTTATGGCCTATGCTCATCCTCGTAACTTGCTTAACATAATTGCTTTTGGAACTAGTCATCGATATTGCTTCGTTGAGGAGGAGATACGACTTAAAGCTGCGGACACACATCCATTCATCCATTCATACATCCAGAAATGACGGGTTAATAAACGCAATTCTCCAGAATGGAAATTGCGCTAAAAATATATATATCTAAAATTGCACAAATCTCCAAAAACATCACTGTAATCAATACATGCTTTAACATTAGACAGTCCTATAAATTGTTACAATTCACTAAAAACTTGCAATACTCACTAAATTATCTATCCATACAACTCCAAAAATTTTTCCAAAGCACAAAAATAGCCTCAAGGATATTACATCGCCACGGTGTTTATCAGATAATTTGGCCATTAAAAAAGAGGATTGCTCTATTCTTGCATATATTAGAAAAGCTGAACTAGACAAAATGAAGTGAGTATTAATTACATATCTTATATGAAACAAATAGGGTAATGAAGTGCAAAAGAGGTGCCATGTAGGCTCCTATGTTATTTCTTATTCTCTCATTTAGAAGCGTTTCTCTTTATATATTGCAGCGTCTTTCACTATATTGATTATGTTTTTTTTATTACAAAGCAAAACAAAAACATCCATCTTGATTGAATCGATGCTAAAAGAATACGGTGAAATAATAGAGGAGGATTTCTTTAATGTTGCAGGTAACAGCAAAGCTGAGCTAGGCAATTTGAAGTAAGTATCATTTAATTTGCACATTTTATTCGATGCAATCAATGTGGTCCGTGTTTCTTTAGTCTCTTTTCTTCGGGGGTGCAATTGAAATTTTCGTGGTGGGGGGAGGGGGGGGGGGGAGGGGGGTGGAGTCAAATTTTCGGGATGGCGGACACTGTGAAAAGTATATTATATTTTTTATATAAATTCCATTTCGTTCGGGGGAAGGCCCCCCCTCCCCCCGTAGAGATGCCTTGAAGAAACTCTGGATGTGGTTTGCGATAAGTAAAAGAAATAATTAAATAGGCACACGTATTATTTCTTTTTAATTTAGGGTGTTAATTTAATGTGCCTCAATATTCCTTTTTCCGAAACTGCAAATGATGTTTACACATTTTATGTGAACAGTGAAAAATCACCCTATAGCCCAGAAGAAATTGTGAAAAGAGCTAGATCCAGAATTGGTTCATATGTGTACAATGTTTTAAAATACAACTCCGAACATTTCGTAATGGAAGTAAAGTACAATGAGGCGAATAGCAAACAGGTAAGTGCGAAAGTTCTATATTAGATCTAAATTCCTTAGGCCTACTTTAATTGTCTAATGTAGAAAGATTAAATAGTACGATTAGGGGCGTAGCGGGGGGGGGGGGGGGGCGGGGGGTACGGACTGCACCGGGTGACACACAATTAGGGGGGTGACACCAAGGCAAAAAATAGCAAAATATATATAGAAAAATGATAATTCCACTTAATTAAGTGATTAATTAGAGGGTTAAATAGTCTTTTAATAGCAAATTTGACAAAACCCGACAAGAATGGGGAGGGGGGGGGGGGGGGCTGACACCATGACGTAAACCTGCTAATAATAGAGAAAACATACTACATAAAGCTGTAGGCCATGTATAATCGACTATAGATAAAAATCATTAGTAGTATATATGAGCACAGTTTCGCCGTGGGTGTGTGTGTAAGGGGGGGGGGGGGAATGGGGGGAAGTTACATTAACTCAGCGGTGCAAAATATGCCTGAGGTAAACGGTTTGGTTGAGAATCGTAATAACTTATATGTTAATCTATTTATAGGGGTGGATTAAATACATAAAAAAATATAAGGCACTTCCCGGCGCAGCAGACGCTTCAAATTTGGCAGGCTCCTGCCTTGGGGAAATAGAACACGGGGGTCAGTGCCGGTTGGCCGCAAAGCTCATGAAGACATGGTCAAAACTGACCTAGACTGACCAGATCCTGATATGAGCTATATTACGAAAAAAACTTTTGCCGAACGACCCCCTTGATATTTTGAGAGGTCGTAGACCGACCCTGGAGGGTAACATAAAACATTCCCGGCTGGAAAACCCCGTAGGGCGTTAGATTAGTCCAGATGCCGTATTTTCTTATATAAACAATTGTGTGTGAAAAAATAAACAAAGACTACGTCGTTTGGTATATATGCAGGGGAGGTACTATATAAAGTAATAATATTTTGAAATGAGTTTTAAATTTTGTAAAAAAATCAAAATTTAAGAAGTATAACATTCGTTTAAATTAATATTTCGTTATGAATTAAGTTATGTATTGTATTGAAATTGTAAAAGTTCATTGCAAAAGTAAATTCAATTTAATAATTAATTTATACTTTTAATAAAGCCTTTGCAGTTCTAACAACCTTGCGAATTATAAGTTTGCGAGTACTCCATCTATGCTTATATGGCTAGATTACTCAGCTGGAGTAAAGCTTAGGCCCTTAGTACACTACATAGCAACCAATCACCAATTAATGAATCATTCAAATTCTCAAACTTAAGCGAAACTATGCAGTATGCGGAGTATATATATATATATATATATATATATATATATATATATATATATATATATATATATATATATATATATATATATACATATATATATAGATATATATATATATATATATATTATATATATTATATATATATATATATATATATATATATATATATATATATATATATATATATATATATATATATATATATATATATTACGGTCAAAGCCCGAAGTGCGGCCTAAGCGCGGGTTGGCCGGCTCTCTTGGCCAAAGCCCGAAGAACTTAGCACTAAGATCGTATTTCGTACATTGGCCGGCCATTGCGCGGACTGGCCGGGACGTACTGGCCAATGTTCTATCTAGACTAAGTTGTGATCGCGTTTTCATTATTCTGGGTGCGGTTTCACTGTGAGTAACGTATTGTTTTGCTATTGTTTGTATAGCATTCTATATGCAAGGCGACATTGACCAAAAGGGCCGTCAGACCGTGAGACAGACATAGCTGATGGCTGTCAAAAGAAAAAAAAATGTAATCCTTGTTAGTTTCCATATATGGGCTACAACTGTATGTGACAGCCTCCTCCGTGATGAAGAGGTGAGACAATCAGCAAAGAACAAAATCAAAGACAGTCGGCGTCACCGACCACGTGCAACAAGACGGAACGTTCAAAAGACTTTTCCGCGTTCTTTGTAAGTTGAACAGTAGTGTCCAAACGACTTGAGATGGCGTGGGCGTCAGAAATCATATTTCCCCAACAAAAGGGGAATACCAAATAAAGCAGACCCATCACCGCGCCTTGACTGGACTGCATGATAAATACCGAAAGAATTGCATTCTTGTGGATCCTGTGGCAACAATGCCCATGCTATGTGTGGAATACCCAATGAAGCAGACGAAAGGTACGGAGGAAATATTACCTGCAGATTATGTCACAACAAACAAGACATCATGGAACAGAGGTCAGCAGCTCATACTAGCTTGCAAGCTCAAGGTGCTAAGATGCTTAAAACATCAAATACAAATTTTAAAGATGCTGATGTGGGTCACAATGTACGCATCCGTATACCAGATGTTGACAGAGGTCGCGGTGATCCCCGAAACGTGATTGCAGATTTCATGAGCGTCGAGGGCGGTTTCAACAAATTAGGAACGGGCCATGGTGTTCTAAACCAACTGTATGCTAGAAGTGAGTTTTCAATTCTTTACGAAAAACTGCTCTTATTATTGTCAGTTGGAACTGAGGTAAAATCACTACGAACCATCGCATCTTCACAATCATTAACCGACTGCCAAGGCTACACTCGCTGCAATTACACAACCAAGTGCACAAAAAATCGTTGCAACTGTAAAAATAACAAGCTATTATGTAATTCTATATGCCATCAAAGTTCAACTTGTTGTAACAAGTGATAATATTGATTGATTGAGACTATAGTACAATAAAATATTTGAATGTTTCTGTCATTTACTTTAATAAATAATCAATAAAGACTTAATTTCATGATCCTTACGGTATAAAAAAAAACCCCGAAATCTGCTCATGATATTTTAACTCGGACTTTGGCCGGTCTTCCCTAGCCAGATGATCTTCTAATTCAGACTTTGGCCGGTCCACCATGGCCAGTCCGCGGACTAGCCGGCCAAAGGCCGAAATCAAGAGCTATTTCAGACTTTTGGAATTTGATCGGTCAATGGGAGGCGATGTTGGCCAATCCGCACATTGGCCGACTTCGGGCTTTGACAGTAACATATATATATATATATATATATATATATATATATATATATATATATATATATATATATATATATATATATATATATATATATATATATATATATATATATATATATATATATATATATACATACATACATACATATATATATATATATATATATATATATATATATATATATATATATATATATATATATACATATATATATATATATATATATATATATATATATATATATATATATATATATATATATTTATATATATATATTTATGTATATATGTATAAGTAATTTTTTTTACGGGGGGGGGGGCAGGGGCGAGACACCATTAAGTGCCGCACCGTGTGTCACCCGACCTCGCTACGCCACTGATTACGATCATAACTCTATATATCTTGTTTTATAAACTGTGTCTATTCTTACACTTGATATCTTTCTAATGTGCAAGTATATATTACATTTTAAACATCAATACACATTTCTAGGCTAAAAAATGGTTAAAGAAACTGGGAGATCCGTGGACCAATTAGCTACGAAGAAGCAAAGTTAATATATGTGTTTTTTAATATTGTGTATATTATATAATTAAACTTACTACTGAAACTTGACAAATTCGTCGATTTAGCCTTATACAAAATATAATATATATATATATATATATATATATATATATATATATATATATATATATATATATATATATATATATATATATATATATATATATATATATATATATATATATATACATATATAATATATATATATATCCCTATTTAGTTGAAAATCTAGATAGAGAGTAGTGCTTCTCATTTATTTGTGCTTCTCATTTATTTGTGCTAAATACGGCTTCTTCAAACATTGTAACACTAAAAAAATCCAGTAAAAATGGTTGTTGTGACGTTATAGGTAACGATTGTAGAAGGAATGCTATAAAAATATCACCTCTGAACTCTACTCAAATTGAAGGTTCTGAATTTTCGTTGCTACCAAGGTTATATTATTTTATTATAGTTTTCAGTAGATACGATAGAAACTAAAGTAACAAAACCTTCAAGTTACATATGTATGAGAAAATATTTCTTTTTACAAAAAGTAGAAATTGTAACATAGTTAAAATACATTAAAGCAGAATCATCGATATAAATGTAACTTGTTAAAATCAGATTTTATTAAATATATGTCAAAATTAAATGTGTGGTATTATTCTAACATTACAAAAATTTTAATTTTACTTCAACATAGACATATGAAGTTGGTTTAACTTAGGATATATATCATGCCGCTTAAATAGTTGACTCTTATATATACCTTATATTATATTTAAAAATGAAATAAAGTTGTAATCCTTTTCTAACTACATGTGTTTGTTATATAATGTTTTACGAATTAAGACAGCTTAGTTTTACATACTCCAGCGGTTTTCAAAACAGTAGGTTTCTTTGACTACTCAACGCATGACTCATTACAAATATTTGCTATGCAAACCATACATCTTTTCAGACGAATGATTTTTACTTCCGTGCTCTTTAAATACAACGGGTGTCACGGATGACAACAACATCCCTTGAAGACACTGTATAGACACATTCTTTTCAGCTAATATAAAGTTTATACATCTCGTACGTAAAGTTGAAATGTCTGTTTATGTATGTGGCGGCCCGTGGTAGACATGCATATAGTTTAAAACTCGACTAGGTCGCCATTGTGTAATATTCTTCAAGTGTTTAGGGGTCGTCCATAAAGGATGTCACACTCGGAAGGGGAATGGGGTCCGTAATTTTGTGACGATGTGTGATTAGGGGGAAGGGGGGGGGGGGGTTAAGATGATGTGACGTAACACTTTGCATTATAGGGGTCGGCGTGGTCGAGTCAGTAAAGCTCGTGGTTGCTAAACGGAAAAGTCTCGAGTTCGAACCCTCGGACAGATGGGGACAGCCACTCTTCTAGGAGAGACAACTCCAAAATCAAACAAATGCTGCCTTGCAATTTGTTCTTGGTTGGACAAAGGCTATGGAAGCAAATCCAAAAAGAAAAGCAGGCTGAAATCGGAGTCAATGGCCTCAATAGCGCATAACCTTTTGACACGTATCCTTAATTATGACGGAGGCGTGGTCGAGTCGGCAAAATCTCATGGCTGATAAATTCGAAAAAAAGTCTCGAGTTCAAACCCTCTGGCAGATATGGCTTGATCCCTGCAAACACTAAAAAGTAAGAACGAAGAAGAAGACTTTGCATTATAAAAAAAGCATTATAATTTTTGTCTTTATTTTGCGTTTTAGAAAACTGTTTTAATACACTGTAATAGAAATTTATTAAAATACTGTATGATGACAAGATTTAAAAAAAAATATCGATGTTTTAAGGGGGCAGTATCACCCAGAAATTTGAAAATTGACGAAAAAATTTGCCAAAAAAAAACTATTATACATACACACATAAATCTTTTACCAAAATAGTAAATAGCAAGGAGCTATAAAACAGCACATAAAAGAAAGTTAACGTATGATGCAAACATTTTTTAAAAATAATTTTACCAAAAAATGTTTACTAAGTAATTTTTGGCTGCGGTTTTCCAACATTTAGGCCCTTCCTTCTGAAAATACTCTGGGAGATGCATAACAGGGTTGCCTATGTCCGGGGCTAGGAGATATCCATTGTGACAAATTTTGAAAATTTTAGAATTTTTCAAAGTCAGACCAAAATTATTGAACTTTGAAATTTCCTAAAAAATTTATCTCTCAATAGAATACTATTATCTTAGTCCCGGACGTAACCAATAACGCAAGGAAGGTTTATACCAAATTTTATGTACTTTACTTATGGTTTCGAGAAAATGTTTACAAAAAAATTAAAAATGTGATAAAATATTAACAAAATAATTTTTTGACAATTTATTGCCATACATATACCCTACAATTTATATACTGTATTATAGCAGAAGAAACGTTACTATTGCTGTAAAAATTTGACATGTGTATGTCAAATAGTTTTTTTTTGGTGATAGTTTTTGTTTCCCTCCCTTAGTCTATGTAATACTGCCCCCCTTAAGAAAAAATCAACTGCAAATTTGAAGGGGGTTTTAGGCTGAGCTGTGACATCAGTTTAGTGGGGGAGGAGGGGGGGATCAGGCTTTTTGTGTGACAAAGTGTGACGGTTGGAGTGGGAGATTGGTAAAAATCGTCAAAAAAGCGTTATGTAACTTATGGATTACCCCTTTTTATCTAAATTAGTTTTTAAAAATAACGTAGATCTTTTTGTAAAACAAGTTTCATTTTCAAAACTTATCATTTTAATTAATGTCATGTGGAATAAAAAAAATCAAAGAAAATGTATCATCCTTCACAAAAATTTAAAAGTGTACAAATTGCTTCTCTTTGTTCTTTTAGTACCAACAACTTTCCTTGATAGATAAAAACAAAATACTTCCCTTTAAAAAAATATTGTTATGAGTTGTTTTTTTTTTTTTTGGTGTTGGAAAAAATAATTATACAATTATCATGGATTGATAAAGTTCAATGTGGTAGGTAAAACACGTCGATATCTAGTTATAAATCTATATTTCAATAAATGTTAAGCTAATCATCATCCTCCATATTCGTCAGTGCCTAAGACCCATAGGGCAGACGAAGGATAGTTATGAGATACTAGCTATCGGTACCCGTTACACTGGCAATTCTGGTGACTTTTAGCTGTCTTCTCTTTACAAATAGGCTACCCTGTTTTTCTTTTAGATAATTATCTTCGGGGAGCGGCATTTAAAAAAACTGTCCGTGAGAGGGTGTGAGGAATGTTTGTGCGTAGGGGGTGGGGGAGGGGGGAAGCGGATACTGGTTTTTCTATATTTTTTATGAATTACCTTTTTCAATTTCGTTCGGAAGTAAAAGAACAGGGAGACACGGTAGAGATGCCTGAAGAAAATGTATATATCTACAGAAATGAATTGTAATTCAGCTTTTAAAAAAGTTAGTATAGGAAGCTTAGGGAACATTTTATTAATCAAGAGCATTGGAATGACAGATAGAGAGAGAGAGAAAGAGACAGAGAGAGAAGTGCGCATGTGGGCTTTTTATATATTAGGGCACTTGATAATCATTTGATAAATTTAAGAATAAGGAGATATTTAAAATAAACTGTTAGTGATCTCCCCTAAACTTTCTCGAATATTCTTATATAAAACACCGGGGGATGGCAACTAACGATATAGACATGATTTTTAATTAATTTTTAATTACTTAAACTTTTAAAAATATAATAAAATCTCGTAGAAAAAGAATTGCACACCAAGTAAATGAAAAACATTATGTGTATAATAGTGCGGACTAGTATTAGTACTTTAAAATTTCATATGTTTTTTGAGAAATCCAAAACAGCCTAAAGTACTACTTCCGGTCAACGGAAATTATTCAAAATTTTACAGAAGGCTGTTAATTAGATATTATACTTATATGTGAAATTTTTTCATCTATCTCAAACTGTACTCAAGTTAACAAGCTTTTGAAAAATTAAAAGTTGAATAAGTATCACTTACTGTTATCGGAAATCGCTGAAAAATTGATACAGAACTACAAATTTGATATAATACTTATATATAAAACTTCATTAACATAGCTGTAACGGTACTCAAGTTATCGTGTTTACAGACACACATACACACACACATACACATACATACGGACAGAATTGAAAAGCCTAGTTTTTGAGACTCGATTAGACATAAAACGCCAAAATTTTGATAAATCTGGATTTATAATTTTAGCCCGATTAAAATAAGTCCCCTATACTCCGGATGTGATGAAGTACTGAGGTGTAAAACGGTGAAAACTATCAAAATTTCAAGTGATTTTTGGGCACGATTACAATACCTTCTCTATACTATGCATAAGAGAAAGCTAAAATAAATATTCTTTGTTATTTTAAAGACAAATGAATATTACAATTATCATGTGGCTGGTAAGCCTTTTCAAGTTTTCTTTCAACAATTTTGGAATTACCTTTTAGACTAGTGTAAATCATACAAAAGAGGAAAAAGTATTATGCCAGTGAAGATCTAATTTAGATTGAAAAGTGGAGGTTGGTGGAAATGTAACTTATGTAGTCTTTAACACAACACATTTTTATTTTTGTTCTCTAACTTATGAATACAGAAGATATATTTTATCTTAAGCCTTTAGCTAGAAGTAATATATATATATATATATATATATATATATATATATATATATATATATATATATATATTGTTTTCATAATCTAAAGGAATTATTACTAGTATGTTATTGTTCTGGTACTGCCTTGGAAAGAAAGATTATAAATTCAAGACTTTCGCACAGTCATGTAGAAGGAAGGTCTTCTTAAAAAAAATAGCACAACGGATTTTCCCACAATTATTTGGCGCATACTGGCTAGTCAAGCGATAAGGCATATCGGATTTTTGCTAAGTGAAGTTCGGACCAAAAGTGGTGAGTCACAATCAATAAATCGACACCTAGCTGCATAAGGCACGCCCAAACGTGTTTAGAGGGCGTTCAAACTGTGAGTGAGCACTGATTTCTTGATCAGGTGAGTCAAGGTGCTAAATTTTCATTGAATTGTTTTAATTTGCCTTACTTTTCGTGCTATATAATAGCTAGCGTTGCTCACTCTAAGTCTATTTTATTTTATTTGTTTCGTGTGTTTATGTTATACGACTATTCGTGAGTTAAAATAATTTAATTTTAATTTTAAAAAGGCACAAGCAACTATATTTTTAAAGCTACAGTGTGCCCAAGTTAAAACAGAATGTCTAACAGAAGAGAAAACCAAGCTCTAATGGACAAGTTACGTCCAGGAGATATTGTCAAATTTAGGCGAGATGCTATGTATTGTCATTTTGCTTTATATATAGGTAGGTGCCGTTCTGTTTAAAGTTAACTGATATACAGGTAGGTACCGTTCTTCTGTTTAGTTTAGCTGGTACACAGGTAGGTACAGTTCTGTTGTTTTGTTTACCTGATACACAGGTAGGTACTGTTCTGTTGTTTACATTATACACAGGTAGGTGCTGTTCTGTTGTTTACCTGATACACAGGTAGGTACCGTTCTGTTTTTTTTAGTTTACCTGATACACAGGTAGGTACCGTTCTTATGTTTACCTGATACACAGGTAGGTGCTGTTCTGTTGTTTACCTGATACACAGGTAGGTACCGTTCTGTTTTTTTTAGTTTACCTGATACACAGGTAGGTACCGTTCTTATGTTTACCTGATACACAGGTAGGTACCGTTCTGTTGTTTAGTTTACTTGATACATAGGTAGGTACTGTTCTGTTGTTTACATTATACACAGGTAGGTGCTGTTCTGTTGTTTACCTGATACACAGGTAGGTACCGTTCTGTTTTTTTTTAGTTTACCTGATACACAGGTAGGTACCGTTCTTATGTTTACCTGATACACAGGTAGGTACCGTTCTGTTGTTTACCTGATACACAGGTAGGTACAGTTCTGTTGTTTACCTGATACACAGGTAGGTACCGTTCTGTTGTTTAGTTTACTTGATACACAGGTAGGTACCGTTCGGTTGTTTAGCTGATACACAGGTAGGTAACGTTATGTTGTTTAGTTTACTTGACACACAGGTAGGTACCGTTCTGTTTAAAGTTATCTGATAATCATGTAGATAGCTGCCGTTCTGCTTTTTAAATTTTGCTTATACTTTGGATAATGTCGATCTATTTTTTAGATCAACAGTCAGGAGTTGTGCATTTTATAATTGAAAATAAAACTTTGAGTGAGAGATTAAAATCAAATCTTATGTAAAGTTATGTTACCATCAAAATAATAAAGTTATATTTTAATTACCATTTATGTTGTCTATGATTCTATAATGCAGTTATTGTCACATAATTTTGTAAATGTTTTATTTTTTTAAATCTTTTTTTTTTAAATTGACTATAGATCAAACTGCCTAAAGGTAACTATATGATTATTGATACCGTGGTGATTGTGGTTTTTAATTAGGTAACGGGAGAGTGATTCACCTGACTTCCTCCAACCCCGCCACCTTTAACAGCAGCAGTAAAGGTGCCCTGTCGGCTGCCGGCCTGCCAGTGGACATTGGCAACGTGTCTGAGGACGATTTCTTTGAAGTGGCAGCAGACAGCAAAGCGGAACTAGCTAATTGGGAGTGAGTAGACTTAATTACTACAAATAATTAAATAATACTAATTGTGTAAATCAGTAAAAAGTGATGTTTACATAAAATAAATTATTTCGTGATAGTGAAGCATTTTCTTGCTGAGTGTTAGGAAGGAAAGGAATTATATTCAGTAAGATATATTAAAATAATTAGTAAAGTTGTTGGTTAAAGATGATTTTAGTCACTATTATATCAGACAACAACTATTTTTTTAAACTACTCAAGCAACAAGAAACTTAATTTTAGCACAGACGTTAAAGTATGACGGCAAATAACAAACAATTCTACGACTAAACTTGGATTGCGAGATGTCCCTACATACTTCAGATAACGTTTTAATCGTGAAAACACAATTCCTGTACACCAATTACTATCTCAGTCAAATTTGAGAGAATGTAAGCAGTTGTGTTTTTGTAAGCACCAGATGTGGTCTCCATTACTGGAATAGTTCATATAATTTCATCACATCCACTCTAGCTTGACCTTGTTAAATATGTAGAGACTTGTGGCGTAGCTAGGATTTTTGGGCCCCTATGCAAAAAATATTAGTGGGCCCCTTAGAGGCGTAGCGATTTGCCCCCCCCCCCTCAGACTTTCGATTTGCACCCCCCTCATCAAACTTTCGATTTGCACCCCCCCCCTCCCTCAGACTTTCGATTTGCACCCCCTTCAGACTTTCGAAAAAGGGCCCCTATTTGCCTTGGGCCCCTATGCCTTGCTTACGCTAGCTTTACGGTAGCTACGCCACTGGTAGACACGTACACTATTATATAATAATAATGTTATGTATAACGCATCGAAGTATTTTCTGTAATTCCATCTCACTTGAGATTTAGTCAATAACAATGGTTGTCTGTTCTTGTTGCCACAGTGAAAAGTCCCCCTATAGCGAGGCAGAGATTGTGAAAAGAGCTAAAGCCAAAATCGGCCCCGCTAAATACAGTATAGAAACGTACAACTGCGAGCATTTTGTCAACGAGATCAAGTACGGAAAGCCTGTCAGCAAACAGGTAAGAAAAAACAACAAAAATACAAGACAACAATGTAGTTTTACATTCACGTAAACAAGTATTACATCAATATACCATGTATACATGCACACATACATACATGCATATATATATATATATATATATATATATATATATATATATATATATATATATATATATATATATATATAAATATATATATATATATAAATATATATATATATATATATATATATATATATATATATATATATATATATATATATATATATATATATATATATATATACCTGTGATATTCTAGGTGGATTCTGCTAAGCAAGTGGGGAAGTTCGCGGCATTTACTGCAGCGGTCAGTGCAAGCCTCTATTTGGTGAATAATCAGAAGGGCAAGGGGAAAGAAAAGGAAGCAAGCAATAAATAAAAACCGTTTGATGTATAACGGGTAACTTATTACCTTTGGTAAAATTTTGTCATACGGACATTACAAGTAATACCATAGATTTTCCTATCTAGATGTAGCTATTTATCTGGACACATATAGAATACTCATTTATTGGTTTCATTTCTAATCAAATACAGTTTTTTAAAAATATTACCTTTCAACAATAAAAATATAATTATTTTCGAGTTTGTATTTGTTTCTTGTATAATATTCTTATTATTACAAAACAACAGAATTACTGCAAACAATACTTTTGTTTGAAACGTATGTAACTGTGTACATTCTACTGTGAATAATGAAACAGAAATATATACTAACTAATAAAAATCAAATAGAAGAACTTTTGTAACATGTGTATTGTAATAAAGCATCTGTAGAGTAGTTTATAATGTGGCTAAATCTAGTTTAAATTAACTGCACATTAAAAAGGAAAGGACTTCATGTAATGTAAGGCAGACTTTACAAAAGTTTTTGTCAATGATAATGATAAAGGAGAAGAGGACAGCTAATAAGTCTAAGATGACAAAACAGCTAGTTCAAAAATTAAGAGAAAATAAAACTGTAAGGAGAGTAGTCAAGCATCGATGTTGGCAGATAATGATTATTTTTTCAAAACAATTCGAAAGTATAAAAATTCCGTTAAAAAACTACAGTATTTTCAAGGGAAATGATTCATTATCATAAAAAATTAAGAACTTTTAGATGGTGATCGATTTAAGTGGTAGCATTGTTATAATTAACAACCAAAACATATTTTGTTTGCGGCCAACGGCTCAAAACTTTATGACTCTTGGTCATATGACGATATATCCCCCCCCCCCACACACACACATCACTCCACCTTTAAATGAGTGCATGGTCAATTGGAATTATATACCTTTTTAAATCTCTAGAGGGAGGTAACTGCTGAGAATTCTGTACATTTTAAAATCCTTTATTGTCTCCCTTTATTATTTCTACTTCACCCCAAGATACGATCGAGTGGAATGTGCCGGCTAAATTTTTAAGCCTCCATGAAATATAACAGTAAGATTCTTTTAGGTCATCCCATTATGGCGTCACGCACAAAATATAATCGGAGGGGTGAGGAAATGCGGAGGGGTTAATAGAAGCGAACATGTTAATAATATCTCAGAGTAGTATAAGCTTCCAAGGATCCATTTTTGAAGTATAATTATTTATTTTATAGCCAACCCTTTATTGTAGAATGTCATAACGATTCATAATTATAAAAATAAACGTACGTATTTCTTTACACATATCGTTTCTTTTATTTTGTAAGCTGCACTACTTTGTACCTAAACATGATCTGAGACAAAATATGTATAGAAAAGGGAGAGCGAGAGTGAGAGAAATAGAGAGATATTTTTTTTATCTTTTCAGAAATTGAAACAAGTTAATGAAATCTGGTTCGCAGAAATAAACGTAATAATCATCTGCTATGTAGAGTTATCCCCCTCCCTTTCCCCGTTTCAAGACCTGTTACCCTAGAGATTTTTTTTTTATTTCGAAGGGTTATTCACATACGTGTTGTGTTTGAAATTGCCGAGTTAAATAAAGTGCGGAAAGAATCGCTCAACTGCGAGTAATTCTGTGTTCCTTTAGTAAAGATGGAACAGAGTTTGAATCGGGAAAACCAATTCAATGTAGCTTAACACATTGACGTGGCCCTAATATTTATTCTAGCGAGAGTTTGAGTGTAGGACTGTGGTTTATATTTAGACCAATGTTACAGACTGGTGTGTTGTATGTGCTGTGTGTGTGCAATGAAGCGGAAAAGGCGTGTTGTTGTAAAATCATCATGTGGAAACACGAAAGATGTGCTACTGCCGCAACGTAAAGTGTGTGTGAGTCTATGGCTATGGCTATGGCTGTGGCTGTGGATGTGGCTGTGGCTGTGGCTGTGGCTGTGGCTGTGGCTGTGGCTGTGGCTGTGGCTGTGGCTGTGGCTGTGGCTATGGCTATGGCTATGGCTATGGCTATGGCTATGGCTATGGCTATGGCTATGGCTATGGCTATGGCTATGGCTATGGCTATGGCTATGGCTATGGCTATGGCTATGGCTATGGCTATGGCTATGGCTATGGCTATGGCTATGGCTATGGCTATGGCTATGGCTATGGCTATGGCTATGGCTATGGCTATGGCTATGGCTATGGCTATGGCTATGGCTATGGCTGTGGCTATGTTTGTGGCTGTGGCTGTGGCTGAGGCTGTGGCTGTGGCTGTGGCTGTGGCTGTGGCTGTGGCTGTGGCTGTGGCTGTGGCTATGGCTATGGCTATGGCTATGGCTATGGCTATGGCTATGGCTATGGCTATGGCTATGGCTATGGCTATGGCTATGGCTATGGCTATGGCTATGGCTATGGCTGAGGCTGTGGCTGTGGCTAGGGTTAGGGCTAAACAATATTTTTCTTCCTTTCATTATATATATATATATATATATACAATTATATATATATATATATATATATATATATATATATATATATATATATATATATATATATATATATATATATATATCCAAACGAATTAAATTTAACTCCGTGAATGAATTATTGGCAACAGCAATATTTAACTGATTAAAAGCCAATCACTTAGCTTTTATTTCTCATGCGCTCAATACCCAACCTTATGTCTGCATTTTTTACGCTGCTGCCTAGAGATAGGAACACATGTGTGTTAGCCTTCTAGCCTACACCTACATCGAGCTCTCCTCCGTTATGCCTGCACCGTGCATGATGGTTTTCCAGCTATTTTTATCCATTACGTGTTCACCCGTTACCAAAGGAGCTCCTACCACCTCAGTTGGAAATTTGTCGATTTACGAATATTCTATTCATCCATGTTTCTCACAGTTAATTCCAAGGTAATGTGAAGTTGACCAGAAATTTATTTTTAGACATTTTTATTTGTTGAAGTTACATTTAAAGCTGTGTTTTGTAAGGAGATTACATGTAATTTTTTTAAAAGTCTAGACTAGTTTTTATTTTTTTAAATTAATTATATTTTTTTCGGTATTGTGTACTAATTGAGTTTAGGTACTTACTTTCTGTCATATAATACATTGCATAATGGAGGACTATATATATATAAATTTATATATATATATATATATATATATATATATATATATATATATATATATATATATATATATATACATATATATATATATATATATATATATATATATATATATATATATATATATATATATAATTTTTCCTAGCTAAATTTCAAAGGTCAGAGCAACCAATACACACACACACACACACACACACACACACACAACTAGAACGAACTCACAGTCATGTGCAGAAGAAAATGGTTCTTGTGTCTTCTTACCAACTCCAGATGTGTATAAACTATTAATAGAATTGAGTATCTACACACAAAAATCCCAATGTAATAAATTTAATTGATTTGTGGTAGCAACCTTCACTGGACATGCTGATTCAAAAGAATGTCGTATAGGGAAGAAAACGAAAAGTTAATACCACGATTAAAGCGAGCTGATATTGTGAGGATAGAGAGGGATAAAGGCTATTTCCATTTCGCCTTATACATTGGTAAGTAATTATCTGACATTAGGAATAAAAAATATAATATAAAAAACGCCAATGAGAATGTGTGATATTAATCATAAGCTTACATTTATGTTTATCACAGTATTAGTTTTAATTAATGTGCGAATTTAGTGTATCTTTAGAGATTTGCTTTGTGCAAATACACATTTATCTATATATAATGTATATAAAGCAATGTATATCTGTGTGTGTGCGTGTCTTTTAAGCATTACTACACCTTCCATCCTGGGGGGGTTTCTGCGAAATTAAAATTTCAAATTCGCAGGGGTGGCACCCCAGCGACCGCGCGATTTGTTTTTTCTCTAATTACGGTATATAAAAATAAAAGTCGATTGCGGTTTGACATCGTTCATCCGATCACCGTCAAACCTTGGGGAGTTGATATGAACTCTCCATGGAAGGTTTCTGCAAAAAAAAATCTCTTTTATTCTTGCAAAGGCGGCGCCCCGGGAGAGTTCAATTTTTATCTATATTCGGTATGTAAAAAAATAATAAAATTCGGCTTTGGCCCGACACCGTTCATCCTAGTGCCAGAAAACTTCGGGGAGTTGTAGAAGATACTCCAAAAAAGATTTCTGTGAAAAAAAATTGTTAAGGGTGGCGCTAGAGAGGGTGAGATTTTCGTCAATAACCCTAACCCTAACCCTAACCCAGAGTTAGCACTTAGCATCCGTTAATTGGGCGTCCTGCATAGCGGGTAAGGGGTGAATATCTTACTAATGTGTTGTGTTTTCTGATTGACAAAACCAGAAATATTTTTTTTTTCATTATAGGTGATATGATGGCTATTCATTTAGTTGGTCCATCACATATATGTGGCATATCATCAGGTGGTTTATCAAGTGGATCTATGGCAGCAGCAACTTGTTTACAATGTACATTTGGCGAGGTGAAAAAGGAACTCTTATTAGAAATTGCAGGCAAAGACTTGATTAGCATCGCTAATATAAAGTAAGGCTTAAGATTTAAATAACAATATACAATGATGTGCAATCTAAATGGTGGCTTACACACCGATTAAGGCGAGGATGGGCCAAAACCAGTAGAAATAAATTATAACGCTCATTACATAATATGTATAGTATATATATATATATATATAAATATATATATATATATATATATATATATATATATATATATATATATATATATATATATATATATAATTCTTTTTATATCTTTATATATATGTATATATAAAGTCAGAGTGAGAGAAATAGAGAGAGAATGAGTTACTCAGAGATCAGATCAATTAATGAAACAGAGATATCCATTCGCATGGGGTGGAGAGAGAGAGAGAGAGAGAGAGAGAGAGAGAGAGAGAGAGAGAGAGAGAAAGAGAGAAAACGAAAGAGAAACCAGGAACCACTTCACTTGTTTTTTTTTATCCGATCGCTTATAAAAAACTCCTACTAACTTTCAGTGAGCCGTTTGATGATGAAAGTGAAGTAATTAAGAGAGCTGAAGCACAAATAGGTGTACATCACTACAACCTGTTGAAGTACAACTGTGAGCACTTTGTCAATCACATGAAATACAATTTAAAAAGAAGTATGCAAGTAAGTTTTTTTCATTGTTCTGAGCATAGATAAATTTTTAAATGTGTTTTAACTGTATCTAGACGACCCAGTTTCCCATTGGAAAACGGTACATCGTCTGCACTAACCACACAAACATATCTCCCACAGATTCCACCCCACAAGTATTACATCCAGTCTTCACACACAAGAACTGCCGCCAACTTACCTGTTATTTTATAGAAAAGTCAATTCATTTATGAAGGTGTCCGGTCAAAAACCCCATTGGACATAAACCCCCTGGACATAAACCCCCCGACATGAACCCCTTGAACAAATACCACCCGCGACATAAACCTCCTGGATATTAACCCCCCGACTGAGGTTTATATAAGGAAATAATAACGATGATGAGAAAAACAAAACGAAATTAAATTAAATTAATGTAATTTTTTTAACGACTAACAAAGGAGTTTCTACATAAAAGCATGCTATTACAAAGTCAAGGTGTGACCTTGGTTGTATGTGATCAAAGATCGGGCACCGACAACACCTTAGATATAGGTCATACACCTGTTGGAGCCGTGCGGATCAAAGCCACACATTTTTAACAATACAAAAGATGTGAGGGATTCACCGGCGGAAGCTTGGTTCAATCCACCGTGACACACTGAAGAATGGTAAAAATATGACATCAAATTTATTTCTCGACAAATCGTAAAATTTCTGGAATGGAGTTTGTTCAATCGAATTGGTTTGGAACCAAGGACAACCTGAGGTTATTGGGGGTTAATCAGCACTAGTTTATGTATGGTTTATTCAAAATAGCTCCTGCATTGTTTTCACAATTGTACACACCGTCCATGCCTTGGTCAATGGACGGACTGTTCCATGTGTTTATGCGTTACTTCAAAACAAAACACAGGAAACATACACAGCACTCTTACAGCAACTAACGCTCTTAAACACAAACCAGCAACCAATTTCTATTATGATTGACTTTGAAATGGCTGTGATAAAAAGTGTTCAAAGGGTATTTCCAGAGTGTGAGGTAAAAGGATGTTTCTTCCATCTTAGCCAAAATATATACAGAAAAATACAGGACTCTGGCCTTCAACAACTCTACCAAGTTGATGGTGAATTTGCTATCAAGCTCAGAATGCTACTTGCGTTGGCATTTGTTCCCATTGAACACATGTCGCGGGTTTTTTTTTGTCCAGGGGGGGGGGTTGACAGGTTTTTTTTGACCGGACACCTTCATTCATGACGTTCACAAAAAAAGCACACACCCATCCAGAAAGGTCGACTTGTTCAGACCACATCTTACCTCCATCGGGACGTCCTAAACTACCCCTAACTTTAATTGTTAAAATTATTAATGGTTAGTATTAATTAAATTTTCCCATTACTAGACGACCGAGCATCACATTTGAAAATGGTCATTTTCCTCAACACCAGGCAACACAAACCACGCATTATATTCGCCACTTATACAGGGTTGAAGTAATCGTGTTGTACTAAGCTAATCACCCATTACACCAGCAGATCAACCAAGCACACCACGCCACGCAAACCACTAAATATTTTTGCCATTCCTACAGGGTTGTAGTAATCGTATTGTACTAACTAATCACCCATTACACCAGCAGATCAACCAAGCACACCACGCCACACAAACCACTAAATGTCTTCGCCATTCCTACAGGGTTGTAGTAATCGTATTGTACTAACTAATCACCCATTACACCAGCAGATCAACCAAGCACACCACGCCACACAAACCACTAAATATTTTTGCCATTCCTACAGGGTTGTAGTAATCGTATTGTACTAACTAATCACCCATTACACCAGCAGATCAACCAAGCACACCACGCCACACAAACCACTAAATGTCTTCGCCATTCCTACAGGGTTGTAGTAATCGTATTGTACTAACTAATCACCCATTACACCAGCAGATCAACCAAGCACACCACGCCACACAAACCACTAAATATTTTTGCCATTCCTACAGGGTTGAAGTAATCGTATTGTACTAAGCTAATCACCCATTACACCAGCAGATCAACCAAGCACACCACGCCACGCAAACCACTAAATATTTTTGCCATTCCTACAGGGTTGAAGTAATCGTATTGTACTAAGCTAATCATGCATTACACCAGCAGATCAACCAAGCACACCACGCCACACAAACCACTAAATATTTTTGCCATTCCTACAGGGTTGAAGTAATCGTATTGTACTAAGCTAATCATGCATTACACCAGCAGATCAACCAAGCACACCACGCCACACAAACCACTAAATATTTTTGCCATTCCTACAGGGTTGAAGTAATCGTATTGTACTAAGCTAATCACCCATTACACCAGCGCATCAACCAAATACACAAAGCCCTTCATACATAACTTCTGCTCAACCTACTCGTGCTAATTCCTCGAGTAAATGGTTGGGGGGGGGGGGGGCAAATGGGGGGATTCTGAAAACAGTCGACATTTGTATACTCATCTTGACAGGATATGTATGCTATAGTTTTAACGTATACAATTATGAAACTGAGAACCGAACTTCTTATTGCAAGATTTTATTTGACTTGCTTCCTGTGTTCATCTGTCTGTCTGGATCGCAGTTTCGAACTTTACTGACTAATGTATCTGAAACTTAGCAAATTGGTCAAGACCCAATGACATGCAACATGACATTTAATTTGACTTAGTTGGACACTTATTACAGTTTTAAAACATTTTTTAAAATTTCTAATTTCTAGTATAATTTACAGCTCTACGCACGCACAGTTTTCCTGTTCATTAGATGCTCAAATTTTTTTAGTCATACAACTCTATTGTAGTAACAATTTTAAAGTACTGAACAAAATTTATAAAAACGTTTTAATAACAAGCTTTTATATAATTATGCGCAAATAGAGGAAAAGAAATTATTTTCTTTAAATATATACAATTATGCACTTCTATATAAATTATAAAGAAATTTATTGGAAAAGTATTGGTCAATATATTATCTATTGTATACCTTTACTAATATTTAGTAATTATTTATTTAAATAGTTTATTATTTTATGTGTACAGACAATCATTTATTTTCTAATTTTTAGTGCATTATTACCTTAAAGCTTGTTATTTAAACTTTTTTACGAGCTTTTATTTAACTCACTTCCTTTGTCTGTTGTCAGTCGTTTGTCGTCAGTCTGTCTAGATCAAAACGCCCGAGCGAAATTGCAGGCACGTCTAACTGACAGATACGGTTCGTAATTGGTACGTGGGCAAAGACATGAAGACAATGCATCATGACATTCAATTTGACTTAATTGGTCGCCTGATTATTTTTTTATGAATTAACAAAAAAAATTGACCAAATTAGTAGGAAGTCCTATCCAACTACTCCACACGCGTCATCACGTTCTATAGCGCGTTATCACTTTCAATAGGTGCGCAATGGTTTTTAGTCATGTAACTCTATTGTAAATAAACTAAAACATGGAAAGTACTAAAAAAATCATACAAAAACGTTTTAATAACAAGCTTTTATGTAATAATGCACTAAAAAGAAGAAAATAAATTATAGACTACTATTTAAATAACTATAAACAAAGCGTAAGTCTCTTCCTAAATATTAGTAAAGGTATCCAATAGATACTAAAATGAACCACGCTTTTCTTTATATTTATTTAAATAGTACTGTATAATTTATTTTCTCCTTTTTAGTGCATTATTATATAAAAGCTTGTTATTAAAATGTTATTTATGAAAAAAAAATCATGAATTTGTTTTTCAGTACTTTATTTTTTTTCAAGCTTTTATTTAACTCTCTATCTCGTTCTATCGTCAGTCGTCAGTCTGTCGTCAGTCTAGATCGAAACGTCCGAGCAAATTTTTGACACTTATAGCTAACATATTTATTCAACGTTGGCACGTGAGTCAAGACATGAAGACAATGCAACATGAAGCTAAATTTGACTTAATTGGTTACCTTATTATTTGTTTTATGTATTAATTAATACATCCAACTCCTACGCACTATTATACACGCGTCATCACGTTCATTAGTGTGCGCAGTGGTTTTTAGTCATGCAACTGTTTTGTAAATTTATAACCTTTAAAGTACTGAACAAAAATTCATAAACAAACATTTTAATAACAAGTTTTATGTAACAATGCACTAAAAAGTAGAAAATAAATTATATACTACTATTTTAATAGTATATTAGTAAACATATTCAAAAGGTACTAAAGTGACCCACGCTTTTCTTTATAGTTATCTAAATAGTAGTGTAATTTATTTTCTACTTTTTAGTGCATTATTACATATTAGCTTGTTATTAAAACGTTTTTTATACATTTTTTGTTTTGATTTTTATTAGAGTTGCATGACTAAAAACTATTGCGCACCTAATGAACATGATAACGCGCGTATAATCTAAATCTATAATGGGCCACGTTCGCACATCTCTCTCTCTCTCTCTCTCTCTGTCTGTCCGCAAAAAATTTTCGCCGGACATCACGTCAGAATCGGCAGCGATATATGAAGAACTTTTTACGGACTTTTGTTGAAAATAATATGTTAGATGTTTTAAATGTATAACCACAATTTTATTTAAAGAAGAAAAATAAAAAATAAAGGCGTATTCGAATAAAGAGAAACAGTATTATTTATGCAACCGGAAAAGTGTATAAACTTGGGACAAGAACGCATTTAACAATGACGTCGCTTATTGTTTACTCCTAAAAAACTAAAACAAGAGCACGAAACTGATGACGCCATCTTCCGAGTTTAGAATTTTAAAAAATGAACTATTTCATTCAAATATGATTTAGAGCTATGTACGCTATGAAATGTATACAATACGATTTTCTCGGCCTAAACTTAAAAAAATTATTTTATCTATTTGGATTCTAGATCTAGAGATTCTAGATCATCTAGATCTAGAGATTCTAGATCTAGATCTAGATGATCTATAAAGCTAAGTTGTCGGGTGCCCGATAGGGCACTTCCCGGCGCCGCAGGCGCTTCAAATTTGGCAGGATCTTGCCTTGGGGCGACAGAACACGGGGGCCGGTTGGCCGAAAAGTCTACGATGAGGGGGTAAAAACTGACCTCGACTGACCGGCGCCTTATATGGGCGAATTAATTAAGCATTCAAATTCTCAACGTTTCGAAAGCCTAAGCGAAGCTGGGCAGCATGCCTAGTAGTGAAGAATAGTTGATTGTCAAAATTACAAACTTGAATTGATTACGATTGCCTATTTGGAAATATTTTTTATTATCTAATATTAACATTTTCGAGCACCATTCGGGCAAGTGTCTTTCAGGAAAACGTTCGGCTCTCAGTTGGAGAAGTCTGCCTACTAATTTGGATAACATTTTAATTAATTCATTTAAGTCAAATTTAATGTCATATTCAGAGGTGTAGCGAGGGGGGGTACATATGTCCCCGGGCGCCGACCTTAGGGGGTGGGGCAAAAATGGGTTGGAAAAAGAAATTAAAATGTCATTTTAGCTTCATTATAAATAGTTTGAGGGGGTGCAAATCGAAAGTGTGAGGGGGGGGGGGTGCAAATAAAAAATTTGAGGGGGCGCCAAATTGAAAGTTTGCGCCGTGAAGGGTCGCTACGCCTCTGGTCATATTGCATTATCTTCATGTTTTGACTCACTTGTCAACTTTGAACCGCATATTTCAACAACAAAAATTAAAAGTGCACGAAACTTTGCTCGAGCGTTTCGATATATGTCGACAGACTGTCGGCAGATAGACTGGAAGAGGAAACAAGTTAAATACAATCTTATAAAAAGAACTGTAAGCTCATCCAATTAATTTTATTTTACATTGTTTAGTCAAAAATCATGTAGTAGTAAAAAATATACTAAAATGCCAATTCAAAATGCAGGATTTTAATTGACGAAGCTTGTACGTTGCAATGGTTTCAATTATGCATTATTTCTTTAAAATTATTCAATTTTAGGTATACGTTGTCTGTTGGTTTCAACAGTTATGATTATAAAAGAAATATTTTTTTTTTCAAAAACTTGGCAATAACACAATTTGTTTTACTTTACTCTTTACAAAAGTAAATCCTGCAAATGAAAAAGAAAACTCAAAACACCGAAAAACAAATGTTTCTGAAATTATATATCGTTTTAAAAATTAATACAATTATGGAAACCTTTTTTTCCCCTTATTTTCCGTGCATTTAAAATCTTATTGTAATAAATGTTTATTATATTTGTTTTTGTTTTTTTTTAAGGTTGAGAATATAAAGCGTAATCCTTCAATACATATTACAGGCATAGTACTTGCGTCATCGAAGTAAGTTCATTTAATTAAATTGTTTATTGTAGATTGCACTTTCCTAAACTTCTTTATAAATTATATTTTTGTTTGACCAGTACGCTGAGTGATGTATCTAATCAAATATGATGGCCTTGCAGCGTAAGAGTGTTCTGGAACTGGGAAACATGGAGCTTATAAAGAGAGCTTACTTCTTCAATCAAGACTATAGACCGCAGTGATCAAATTGCATTATTAGAGACTGATGGAGATAAATTTAACCACAACTAGTGTTTGCAATGTACACGGTTCTCATGTTTACCTTTAGAAGCAGTTTAATTTTCTAAATAACTAGTGTTAGAGGATATATGGGGTGGGGGGGGGGTTGATTTCAAAAGTCTGTCCGTAATTTTACAACAGCTAATGACATCTAACGTTGGAAGCTGCTTTACTTATAGGAATGTTGATGTGGTGGGTGAGATAGTTTCTTGATGCGTGCATTGTATTCAGACTATTCAGACAACGAGTTTTTTAAAAATAGTGTTTGTGTTGCGCTTAATTAGCCGAGGTCTTCTTTCTACCTCATCACCTCATCTGAGTGTTATATATATATATATATATATAATATATATATATATATATATATATATATATATATATATATATATATATATATATATATACACACACTAGCAATTCACAGACTATCAGCACTCATACACTATAAATACTATACTTTTTTTCAAATAAGAGGAAAAACAGGAATCTGTAATACCAATTAAAAAACACTGTCTACAACTAGTAGTATTTGATAAGTACGGAAAGTTCCATTTTGAACCTGACGTTCTATAAGGCAAGGGAAGTAGAGTTCACCTGTTTCTGTTACCTCGGCATAAGAAGAGAAATTATCACTACGAGCCGGCCCGCGACATAACATACGCCGCTATTTAGTTGTTATTTTTTCTAATTTTCAGTAATTCATAATTTGTGAATTCGACAGTACCAACGCTGACACTAAAAATATTTCTTTAAAATACTATAAGTAGCTCGTTAAGAACCATACCCCCCCCCCCTTTCCTTCCCCCCACCCCTCCAACGTTTAAAATCGTTTCAAACTAAATTATCTGCCCCAAATAGCCGTCACTAAACCCGACTCCACGAAGGTAAACATAGCGTGAACCACAACTCACTAAGACCATGTAGGGGTGGGAATGGTAGGGAGCGCGTTTACAGCTTGTTTTCTAGCGTCTCCCAGAAGAGAATTATATATACGAGCCGACCCGCAGCGTATCATACGCCGCTATTTAGTTGTTTTATTTTCTACTTTTCAGTAATTCATAATTTGTGAATTCGACAGTACCAATGCTGCCACTGAAAATATTTGCTTTAAAACACTAACCCCCCACCCCCTTTCCCCTAACCCCGACCCTACACCCCCCCCCCCCCCTCCGTGAAAGCAGCCTCCTCTTAGTTATTTCTTAGTTACCTCCTGTAAGTTTAAAATCGAACTAAATTATCTGCCCCTAATAGAAACCCGGCTCTACGGCTCTACGATTTGTAAACATTTAGCTTTGTAAACATTTAGCGTGACCACAACTCACCAGACAATGTGGGGGTGGGGGTGGTAGTGATAGTGATAGAGAGAAAGAGAGGGGACTGCAAGGAGGCGCTTGCAGCTTGTTTTCTAACGGCGCCCAGAAGAGGATTATATATATATAGATAGATTACCACTTTACTTTCCATAACATTGAGTCCGGGACACATCAGAGCTGTGTGAACTCAGGGACGGTTAAAGGACTCAAACCTGGATTCAAACTCAAAAGTATTTGCTAGTTTAAAAAAAAACAACACATTTTTTGTTATATAATTGTAGACTCAAGTGAGTTATAATACACGTATAGTGCATGATTTCAAACATTTCATTTGGATAGGCCTAAATAATGTTTTAGTTAAAATATGGGCATTTTCTTTTTATCATAATTACAAAAAAAAAAAAAAAAAAAAATCTAGCTATTTTATTTATATAAAAATTCTCTGTTTTCAAGTTAGATATGGTAGATTTGAGAAGAGGGGAGAATACTACAGAAAAATAATTGCAACATCCAAAGTGAATTATTTTTCCTGAATACTAGTAAAGTTGTCTTTATTTCATTCATACTTGTTACACTTGTAGATGTTACGAAATGTTATATCCCTCTACTTTTAAAAATGCCTCTACAGATTGTGATTTATTGTTCTTTATGTTTTTAAGAACCTACGGATGCTCAGTTTGATTTTATGCTCGACTAAATTTATGTTCCTTATGACCTTGTGTCCGTGGCGTAGCGAGGTCGGGTATCACCCAGTGCGGCACTTAATGGTGTCATCCCCCCCCCCCAAGGCGTTGCGACCCTTCCCGGGGACAAACTTTCAAGTTTTCGTTTCCCCCCCCCCTCCTCTCAAACTTTCGATTTGCACCCCCCCCATCAAGTTTTTCTCTATATATTTTGCTATTTTTGCCTTGGTGTCACCCCCCTAAATGGTGTCACCCTGTGCGGTCCGCACCCCCCCGCCCCCCCCCCCCTCGCTACGCCCCTGCCTTGTGTATTACACATTTGGTATGAACTACACAAGACACTTATCATCAAAACGTTCAAATAAAATTAAAGCAACATCTGATTTTTCTACATTACTAGTAGAGCAAGTATTTCCAACAGTGACGTCGCTTGGTCGGGTGTCATCCGGAGCTGCACCTCATGGTGTCACCCCCCCCCCCCCCCCTTTTTTTATCTGTAAATTTTGCAGTATGCATCTTGGTATCACCCCCCCCCCTTCCCGGTAAAAGCTTTAACTTGTTCTTTGTTAATACTAATGATGATTATCTACAGTCGGTTGTAGCATTGTTTTCTCTAAAGTTTGCATGTTTACGTCATTGTGTCGTCGCCGCCCCCCTCTCCCCCCCCCCCCCCTCCACCTTGTCGCGATCGTGATTATGTTCTAAATATTTAGAGTTAAAAAATATTGAACTGGCAAAAAACATATTTATTCTATATATCTTACATTTTTTTTGTCTTGATGTCACCCCCTAAATGGTGTCACCCGGTGTGGTCCGCACCCCCCCCCCCCACCCCCGCTCACGACGCTTCTGTTTCCCAACCAAATTCCCTTGGTTCTAAATCATCTTCTTCCACATCGATAATTTTTGTCTTTATTTCTATTATTCAACAAATTACCTATTGCTGTCCACATGTTCAGGGTTATATTCTGTCCTATAGGGCTGGTAAGTAGGTCACCAGCCAGTTCTATGGCTCATGCAGGTTTTATTGAGCCGTAGAACTGGTTGGTGTCCTACTTACCAGCCCTATAAGAGCACATATTGACTTAATTCAGGGGGACAATGTCAATCTACTTAAACTGTTATTCGCTACTTACTGTTTATCAAACTATATCACTTAACTTGTAACTTTAAAAAACGGCAGCATGATCAAGATTGTTTTTGGTTTATCTGATCACATCGATTTTATTAGTTAATGAGTATTCAAAGTGCCTACATGACATAATCATAACTGAACCAATTAAATGTTAAACTGAATAAACTGAATAACGTCAAGTATATGCACATCTTTATTATTTTGACAGCAATTTAATTAAAAATAATTACAAAATAGAAAATTGTATTCAGTTCATAATGACACAATTCTTGAAAATATTTAAGTAGATATTGAAAAAATTACAAATGCAAGAAAATGGTTAAATGGTTATCATCATGGTTAAAATACTCAAATGCAAAGAGAAAAATATTTAGATTTCCAAGCCAAAATGTGATAAATTTATTAAAAACTAATACGTTAAAACAATAACCAATCCAATTGTTGTTTATTTTAATTTGGAAGGATACACAGACATTGAAACCAAATACACTTCATTACACATACGATTTATAATGCACAGTAGAAAACAAAACTTATGTTGACGATTTAAATATTATTGTAGAATTTTTTATTTAAGCAATAGATGGAAAAACATATTGATACTTAAATGAACATATTGTGCACATTTTAAAGTGTGTAGTTATTGCATAAATTAACATAATGTTTCATGTTTTTTTTACACATTAAACAATTTCATTTTACTTTTGAACTTATTAGTTGTGTTTTTGTCATTCATATTTTATCTCAACAGCACCAGATATTCAGGTTTGAAAGGTAAAATGGACGATTTCAAGAGTTTTTTTTTTCTTTTACATAATGACACCATTTTGCAATTCTGATTCATTAATTTTATATCAAGAATTAAAATGCTAAAAAGCCAAATTTCAGAATCACAAAAAATTAGTGCAGATTTTTACAATTTTACCCACATTTGGCTCAGCTGTCTGCAGTCACTAGTTGTATTTAACATCAATTCTCGTCTCAATTCACTAATTGTATTTAACATCAATTCTCGCCACTCACCATGCTTTAATAAACTTTATTACAAAATCTACCAGGTAGGGCTACGCGGACGATATAAAGATTTTAAAAAGTTTTATCTGACATCCTATTTGCGAATTAAACCATTACATGTATAGATATTTACCATGGTACGCTAGATACTATTTGACAATAAATGACTTTTTTAAACCAAAAATGTTTTAAAACACCGCTAATTACCGCTCTCATGGCTGACTTGACCAAAACCCAACGTAGTCTAAACACCGCTCTCACGTCTCTTTATTCAGCCTCAATTTTAACATATGAAAAACTATACCGAGGATACATAATTCTAGGGTTAACAGTTATATCTTTATACATTATATATTTATTGTAATTGGCAAGCTATATCAATCACCAGATGTAAAAAATGTGCTTTATTTTGATATAGATTGTATTGTATTAATACACACACACATACACATACACATACAAATATATATATATATATATATATATATATATATATATATATATATATATATATATATATATATATATATATATATATTTATACATATATATATATATATATATATATATATATATATATATATATATATATATATATATATATACATAACAGAATGTCATTTAGACTACTACGCTATAAATTATACATTGGTAAGTGTATAATATTTTACGTATACCTGGTCATATTTATGTATTTACAAACCCGACGCTCACAGGAATAAACATGATAAGGTTTGAATTTGCCATCACTTGTATTTTGTATTGTATTTAGATAAAAACATGAACTCGCTCCTCCACATGTGAGAGCAATGTGATTCACCTAACAAGAAACAAAGGTTTAAAAAAGGTGGATTTATCTAAACAACGTTTTACCCACTGCAATTTCAATCAGATATCTGGACCATGAAACAGCCTGGGAAATCAACTCGTTAAAAATAAGAGCAAGGAAAACTTAACTTATTAAATACCATTTTTTTTGTTCTCTGGTATTTATTTGGCTAGTTTTCACTTTACAACTATTTCAAGTTTTTTATACGTATTTCTACTTTCGTGTTAGAAGTTAAACGTTGGGGGTCGGCGTGGTCGAGTCGGTAAAGCTCATGGTTGCTAAACCGAAAAGTCTCGAGTTCGAACCCTCGGGCAGATGAGGCTCGTTAGCTGGGGACAGCCACTCTTCTAGGATAAATTCGAACAAAGTCTCGAGTTCAAACGCACTGGCAGATAAATCTCGATCCCCTACAACACTAATAATTAAGAACGAAGAAGAAGAAAAGACGTAAAGACGATTTGCCAATGATCAAACACTTCATCTTTTTTTTTCTAATACTAAAAATATCCCGTGTAAGTAAAATTACAATTAGTCAATTAATAAACAAACTGCTGTCTCATATATTTTTTTAGTTCTAGGGATAAAATCTAGAATAATTATCTAAAATTTAAAAAAAAACAATTGTTTTAATATTTTAAACAGCTGAAAGCGAAACGCATAAAAGGACACAATTTTGTCCATGTTAACTGTAGAAATGTTGACTGGCAACTTGATCATTTTAAGCTCTGATTCCGGGATCGAGTCCTAATGAAGTCCATTAGCCATGTTAGTAATCTTAGGCCACCCAGTGGCGTAGCCAGGGTTATGAACCCCCCCCCCCTAACCCCACCCCTTGCCTACGCCACTGAGGCCACCCAACTGATATTTGAGCAGGTGGCTCGTCATAGTGCTGACCACAGTATTCCGTTACACACCGCAGCCACAAAACAAATGTTTTCTACTTCACCTGCCCCATGGATTTAATGAAAGGTTAGAGCTCTGGGATAGAATGGGACGTTGTGTTAATATTTAAATTATCAATGCTTATAAACAACCCAATCCCATCTGCTCTTTTAAACATACCTTAAAATTGATTTATAATTACAATTAATCAACTTACTGGTCGGCATAACCCTATGAACAGTTTGTATAGATTTTTTAAATTACATATAATTATTAAGTTATGTAATTACCTATAGTCAATAAATAAACAAACAAAACAAAGCGCACTAGAGTTTACATACGTTAAATTTTAAAATATTTGTTATCGCTTTCACCACTTGATTTATTTAAAAAAAACCTACTTTAACGTGTGCTTATATAAATTGATATTGTGTTTTTGTTTGGTTGTGTTTTTGAATCAATTTTGAACAATGTTTTTATCAACTTAAAGATTTGATGCTTTAAAATTTCAGCTTCAGATTGATAGTAATGTCTTGAAGAATCCAAGAATCAGAATAAAATGTGGACAAGCTCAATGATGCTGAGCTTGATAATAATCTTTACAGGTAGGTGATGTTTAGTTCTCTGGTAGTCTTTACAGGTAGGTGATGTTAAATTTTCAGGAAATCCTTTACATGTAGGGGATGTTTAGTGCTCTGATAATCCATTACAGGTAGGTGACATTTAGCTCTCTGGTAATCTTTACAAAAGATATATATATATATATATATATATATATATATATATATATATATATATATATATATATATATATATATTGGTGTGTGCTAATGTGAATTATGAATTCGACGAATTATTTACGGAATTCACATTTTACCACCACCGGTCAAGATATCAATGCAAGTTTGCCTCTTTAACATTGACAAATGAATGTCTGCCGTTTGTAAAAATGAAAAAAAAAATGCTCGTCAGCTACTTCTATATGAAAAGGACTTTTTTAAAATGTTAATTTAGTGGCTTATTTTATGTATTTTATTTCAGGGTGTACCCAGAAGGTGGAATGGTGTCACCCGGTGCGATCCGCAGCACCCCCCGCCCCCCCCCCCCCCCCCCCTCGCTACGCCCCTGGAATGACGTTTTTATCATTATTGACCTTTTGGCACCTAACTTTTTATTTATTTTTTTATTTTTTAAAATATTTTCCTTTTCGTTTTTATTTAAAATTCAGAGCTTTCTTGGCATACAAAACATTATACTTCAAGATGTGACGCCCTAATTTGTAAAATCCATAACATTAATCGAACATGTTTTGATCAGACGATGCGATAACAGATCAAGCAGGCCTACACGGTTTAGTGCCATATAACGAAACTAGCCATAATTCACGTGAATTAGTCTTTTAATGTTAAACTTTACTTGTTTGGAAGAAATAAAGTTATAAAATAGTTATTGGTCAAAACGTAATGTTCTTTACTACACGTTGAAAGATATTAGCGAAAAAGCAAAGAAATAATTGAACAGCTAAAAATCCGATACATTTAAAATAAAATAGGCTACAAATACTTATTATAAAAATTAAAACCAATTATATCTAATATACATAATTAGTCAACACAACACCACATTAATGGACACACTGATTAAGAGACTTGAATGATTCCGTTAAAAGCCCAGCTGTTTAATGGAATTTATATATTTTTAAAAAATTATTTAAATAAGGTTTGACTGAGAAAATTGTATAAATTTTATAGCAAAGTCTTGATAAGTAGATCTATAGATCTAAATCAAATTTGAATTAAATAGTTCATTTCTTCATATTCTAAAATTGGAAGATGACGACATTAGTGTTGTCAACTTTCCGTAGTTTAAATATGATTAATGTGACGCCATTGTTTTTTGCGTTTTTGTCACAACCATAAACACTTTTCTTGTTGCAAATGTGTTTCTACATTCGAATGTGCATTTATTTTTATTCTTTAAAAATATAATTAGTTTATACATTGAAAATATCAATCTCATTATTTTCAACAAAAGTCTCTATCTTTAAGATCTGAACATACTGATCACATAGCCCGCAGACAGAGAGAGGGAGGATGGTGGGGGGGGGGGGGGATTAATGTAGTAAGTCTAAAAAAAGTACCACCGTTATTAAAAAAAAAACTATATATTCTTACGCTATATACAAACAATTGTTTAGTACCTTAAATTGTCAGAACTTATTTTTAATGAATTTTTGTCAACTGTAATATTAATTATTGCTGAATAAAAGCCAACCTCGTTGTTTTGTAATGTATGATTTCATACAACACATAGATCTCAATTTTATATATATATATATATATATATATATATATATATATATATATATATATATATATATATATATATATATATACATATATATATATATATATATATATATATGTATATATATTTATTTATTTATTTGATGCTAGGTACAGTCACTTAAGTCGGCTGGACTTGTTACATTATCTGCCGTCTTAATAGGCTTTATGGCATATGGAATTTATATTTATAACTCAAGGGGTACCGAAGAATATCAATAGCCTGGGACGCACACCTGGTGCTCAAAATTTTTATATTATTTGAATTCATAATGTATATACAAACATGATAAATAAACCTACATAAAATTTGTGTTTGTTTTTTTATATTTTTCTTTATTTTTATGAATTTAAAATCAGCTCAACTTAACTTGATCAAGCAATGTATCTTGCATGTTATTTGTATCAACTTCATAAATGATCGTAGAATGAAATAGTTTTAACATTATAAATTATATTTTAATTTCGTTTAATAATATTGAGATAAAACATATGTGTGCTATAAATCTGTGCTTTGAATCTATTTAGTATTATATACGAAGTAGGTATAAAAAAAACCTTTAAACATTTCTTCAACTATAACATTTTCAATAAACAAATACCGAAGATAACAAGAATTGTACTATATAACAAGATTTGTACCATGGTACGGATTAACAAAAGTTTGGACCTGTGTCGTCTGAGTCACAAGAAAACCCAAGGCTACAACCTCTTACAGAAGCAGTTAATTAGAGCAAACTTAACATAAATAGTTATTTTAAAACGTAAATATATTATGTAGGCCTATGCTAGCTGAAAATGGCACGTGATAACTGTACGGCAAAGTCTCCGATTACAGTCTCCAATATATTTATAGCGTCTGATAGAGTTGACGTGGAAACGAAAACTATAAATAGATTGAATTTTCCCACTTACATACAAGTGTGATCCACGTTGAGAGTGTAATCCCAGGTGTAGTCAAACTTGTCACTGGTTATGGATTTTCCTATAGTTTTGAATCAACGTCGTGTTTGTGATGTGTTTCCGTTGTTTTAATCTTTCCGTTGAGTTCAGTGGGTATCTGTTCGATGAGAGAGTGTGTTAGGGAGGGGGAGTGGAAGATGGAGAAAAAAACAATGTAACATAGGACACATGTTACCAGAAATGCTTATATGTAATCAATGTATGCATAAATATACTGCCTGAATAGCTATTTCAATTACAATATTGAATTCTGCCTTAAAAGTCATTGGTTTACTAACCCCTAACAAAAATTACTTTTTACACTAATCAAAGAACTGACTTAGTTTAAGTATAAGTGTTCAAGTAGAGGAGTTCCTTAGTATATTATAATAAAGAATGAATAAATAATGAAAATAATAGGTGGCATAAGAAGCATGTCAATTGTAATATAATTACAAGGATAGTACATTATTCAGCGAAAAAAGATTCAATATAAAGGATCGTGAAACAATATATGTAATAAAAAAACCGATGTTGTTTAAAATACTTTGGCCTATTTTTCTTTTGTTGTGAATTAAAGGGATGTTTATGTTACATCGGGTTTCAGGTAAACATCGGGTTTTCACAAAATGACATCTTGCATTTCCAAGAAAAATCAGCGGACAAAATTGAGTATTTCTAAAGAAAGAAATCAAACCGGAGTAACCGTGCTAATAATTATGTGATTGAAGATTTCTTATAATATAACCAATCATCACAGATTCGTCTGCAGGTAAGCCTAGGACATCTATTTTATATAGCTAAAATAATGAATGTTATTATTATCTTTAGACCAGCTTACTTCGATGGTGCACTATAGTCAAATTACGTGTAACAAAATGTTTTACTTACTTCACATTTCTAATTCCTCTCTTGTATCTAAAGTCTATTACAATCTTTGATATTCATGTAGTTTTATCAAACTAAAATTCATTATTCTATAAATTCGTTATATGTTGTAAATAAGCTCCTATTATAAAGTTTAAACCCTCATTACACACGAATGTCAGTTTTGAAATGTAACATTAAAAAAATCGTGGTTGTTTGTCCGTGCTACAGAATATAAACATATTTAAACATAGCATTCTTTAGTACTCAACAGACATGCTTTATTATTTTGTATCTCAACAGAATGTCTTACAGGGAGCATAACAAAAGGCTGCTGAGGAGGTTAAAACCTGGAGATATTGTCAGGTTTAAACGTGGAGTATACTACCACTACTACCACTACGCCATTTACATAGGTACATGCTGTTGATTACCAGTGGTTCTTAACCTAGGTTCCATCGGGGGGTGGGGGTCGGCGTGGTCGAGTCGGTAAAGCTCATGGTTGATAAATTCGAAAAAAGTCTCGAGTTCAAACCCGCTGGCAGATCCCTCCCAACACTGAAAATTAAGAACGAAGAAGAAGAAAGAAGAACCTACGGTGAGTCAGTCTCAAGGGTCCGTAGAAGGTCGTGACTCATGTAACCTACGATTGCAATATGACAGTGCGGACGATAGAATAATTTTAAAAAAAAATGGTTCGGTGAATGCGTATGTGAAACTGACGGGATGGGGTACATCCAAAACGATTAAGAACCACTGCTCTATACCATAAGTTTACACACGTTACAGTATATCTTCTTTTGTTTGTCAAACACTACTTTTAATGTCTCGTTCTCTCAGATTTAATTAACCGATTACATTTTTAGAATAAATAAATCATAAGTCCCCATTAATTATAAAAGATATACACATTAAAAATATTGGTGCAATTGAATGCATGCCAGGGGTTTATGAGCATTTTACTAATGAACAGGTGAAAACAAGGTGATACACCTAACGGCACCGGAGGGAGGGATCTCCAGCAACATTCGACCCAAGCACAGTGGGTCAGCGGCCAGTGTGGCAGTGGATAAGGCCATAGTATCAGAGGGTGACTTTTTAACTGTGGCAGGAGATGATTTGGCTGAAATAGCTAACAGAGAGTAAATATTTATAACTGTTTATATTGTGTGCGATTAGTGTTTAATGTTAACGCAAATACTGACATGCCGTTTATTAATGTAATCTTTAATATTATGTTAACTACTTTATGTTTCTGTAAGATATATATATATATATATATATATATATATATATATATATATATATATATATATATATATATATTTATACATATATATTTAAGTATTTTTCAGTAACTTAAGCAAATAATTTAATATCATTGCTAAATAAGAATATTGAGATGATTATTAAAGTTAAATAAAATTTACAACATTCTGTAACAATAAGGGACATAACAGTTTATATGATTTTTAGCTCGGTTGTGTTTAGTAATCTGGGTTCGGCGTGACTTAGCGGTTGAGCGCTAGCCTGCTAACCTGAAAGCGTTGGCGAAACGGGCTCAATTCAGTAGAGCTCCCCTGAGTCCACCCAGCTCAGGTTCGAAAAGGGAACTTCACTTTTTAGCGACCTTGCTAAGCGAGGCTATACATAATGCTTGTACAAAAAGCTATGGCAGTTGATCTTTATGAATTACACAGTGAATACCCATCATTTGATGTAGAAGAGATTCTAAAGAGAGCCAAATCTATGATTGGACATAGAAGCTACAACCTTTTTAGAAAAAACTGTGAGCACTTCGTCAACAAGGTCAAGTACGACAAGGAGGAGAGTACACAGGTAATAATAGGGTTTGAGAGACATATATATAAATATATATATATATATATATATATATATATATATATATATATATATATATATATATATACACATATATATATGTATATGTATATATATATATATATATATATATATATATATATATATATATATATATATATATATATATATATATATATATATATATATATATATATATATATATGCATGTGAACATCAGCTATAATATAAGATATATATTATTAGGTACAGAACACAATAGTTGGACTTGGAAAAGTGGGTGTCGGCGTTGGTTTATTGGCAGCGGTAGGGATTGTAGCTTATAGATACAGCAGGGCAGATCGTAATAACAGAAACCCAACCGTTTAAGTCGCAGATGAAGGATGTATCTTAAAGGTGTATACAAGATTTATGTGTCATAAAATAATTTTGTGTTAAACAGCGTTTGATTACTGAATCTAAAGCTGTTATTTACTAGATTCCTGAATGTATTAAAAAAAAACGTTTATAAACTTTGATGTTACAGAACATGTACTTCCTCTTGTATTCCTGACACAAACAGAAATAATGAAAGCAATGTTATAGAAGAAGTCAATATATTATAATACATAGCTTAAGTATTTTATTATTCAGCATTTATAAATATTTATTGTGGTATAAAATTATTCTTATGTCAATAACATTTTTACAGATGATACATACTGCCTATTTCATATTTTCTAAAAAAGTTTTTCAATCATTCTAATTAAACATTCCAAGCTTTTTTTCTTTCAGATATTTTCTTTTTCAAATTTAATGTCGTTTTGTTTCTTCAAAATGTACTTTAAATGCTTTACAAACAAGTAACATTATACCACCTACGCATTATTAATATTATTATTAATATTAGTATTACTATTAATATTATTATAATAAAAATAACATAATATTAATAAGACAAAATTTAATAATAATAATAATAATAATTATTATTATTATTATTATTATTATTATTATTATTATTATTATTATTATTATTAATTTAGTATTATTAATATTATGTTATTTTTATTATATTTTTGTATTATTATCCTTAACTTCACGTTTTAAGTGGTAGAATTATTATTAGTATAAGTAGTTCTATTTCTACTAGTAGTTGTCGTTTTGCTTTAAAAATAAATAATTATAATGAGGATTGCTACGCCTGTTTTAATTTTTTCAATGTATTATTAATGTAGGCTATATCTAAAATATTCCGTGTTTTAACTTTTATTTGTTTAACAATCCGTTAAAGCAATGTGAGTTTTAATTTTTATTGTACTAAGTACTGTAGAAAAAGAAAATTTGAACGTACAAGACCAGATGTTTCGGAAATTCGACAACGCCAAATTATCGCTAATTACTGTCATTAACTTCTCTGACACCTTAACGCGAATGATAAAACAATAGTCGCCCTATCTTAGTGAATAATGCTCATTAATGGTCTAATTGACTAATTATCTAATATAAGATTCAGATGTGTAGCAATAACTGTTAAATAACTAAACTTGAGATATTTGAGAGAGATCATATTGGGGCAACCCTTTACGCGAACACAACTGGACTTATATTTAACTTATTTCTCTAAGAATCATGAGACAATTTACACATTTTAAAAGTAATTCTGATCATCATGTTAGGACTGAGCTGCTAATTACGCTTCTCACTGTTCAAGAAGTTTATGATGGCCTAAGATCTCTTAAACTATGTACAAAAACTTCGTTTGATGACATCTCTAATAAAGTATTGAAGATTTCCGCTCCAATAATCTCTGAAGGTTTGAATTATAATTATAACCTCTGTATAGCAACCGAATATTAACCGAAATGTTTTAAGCATGCTGAGATTATACCCCTACTTTAAAAAAACAAACATCCAAGATTCAAATAACTACAGGCTAATTTATTTACTTTCTGTCTTTCCAAACCATTAAAAATGCATAAAAATAAACCCTGTTCTATTTACCTAGAAAATCGAGAAATTGTATTGACTGTAATAGCAGGTTATTTTTGTTTACCTTTTATTCAATTTAGGTTTGGTTATGTGTGAAGCGGCGGCTTCATAACAAACAGCGTCCTCTACTGAAAGGGCATTAGGACTGGTTCCTGTCTTGTTTAGTACATTCTTTTATTAAAAACTAATATTCTACCAAATGATAAAAACTAATATATAGGCCTACTAAAGCAACTTTTAAATTTAAATTTTTTCACGAAACACCTCTTCTTACTGATCAGACATATTTTTTTTAACACAAAATAAATTGGCATCTTAGTTTTCCTATTTTACATACAACTTTTTTTTTCAAAAACATTGGTGCTCGTTTGTTGAAAAATTCTACGAATAAAATAAAATTATCTGTATCTGACAATGTATTGAAAACCAAACTAAAAGAACAACTCTTTCATGTCCTGCTAACTCAATGACCATCTCTCTTTCATCTATTCTATTCAACTTTTATTCAATTATTTGTTAAAACTATAAAATTATTTGGTATTCATTCCAAATGCTTAACTTCTTTGTTACTGCTATGTTTTGACTACTTTATTGCTTTTTAAAAAAAAATTAAAATTTATTTTGATTTTTTTTAGTCATGGCCAATATGAAAAAAATTAATTCCGTGCCTACAGTTATTAAATAAAGTTTAATATTATTAATAAGGGGATATGCTAAGTAAAAAATACAAAATTCCTGGTTTTTCGTCATAATGGAATTCTTGAACTTTTGGATACTTTGTCCATTTTGTATTAAGAAAATAATAACATTAATGAAACAAGTTAATAAAAAGTCTAGTGACAATTTAAGCGCAATTTCCTTATGTTATCCATAACAATTTTAAATCGAGATAAATCATATATTCAGCAAATAAATAATGCAACACAAGTAGTTTTAATAATTCAAAACAAAATAGAAACCAGTATGGAAATCGCGCTAAAAAAAGGACAACTATATTAACCTATATCAACGGAAATAGTTTTATTTTAACGAGTAGGCCTACACGATGCTCAGTTTAAAAAAGTAGTAAATATTTTTTTGGGACCGAACGAAAGGATATTTTTGAAAACTTTCTTCGGCAATATTGTTCTAAATTATAGCAGGAATCGATTGGTAAATGTTTCAAGTCGCTAAGTGGTCTGGTTGCCGAGATATGGGCCATAAAATTGCATTTTTTTCGAGTTTTTTTGGCTTTTCCGGGAAATCCAGGAAGGAATTCCGGGAATTATTTTGGCCCACAATCATCCTCGGAACTTGCTTAACATATTTGCTTTTGGAACTAGTCCTCAATATTGCTTCCTTGAGGAGGAGATACGACTTAAAGCTGCGGACACACATCCATCCATCCATCCATCACCAGAAATGACGAGTTAATAATCGCAATTGTCCAGTATGGAAATTGCGCTAAAAAATTGTAAGTGTTTAAAATATCATTTTTATGACCTAATTGATTAAAAAATAATCATTTTTCCCAATCTTACAAGCTCTTAACGAAAAGTTTTATATCCGTCATCATAACGTATTTCGCATCATTGGAAAGCTGGATTTCTCATGTATTTGATAATCTTAATTTCCGTCAACTTGGAAATACCCAAAGCTTAAAATCGCTTTACAAATTACACCGATACGATTTTTTTCGTGACCTATTTAACGTTACTTTTTGCTGTTTTTCTCAGTTTGCATTTTTTAACATTAATAAGCCTCCTACTTTTTTTTTTATTTATTAAGCAATGCTCACCATACTTTCAGTAATTTTTCTTCATGCAACAATAACTTTTGTCACGGAGAAATTGTGATGGTTTTCATAGAAAAAAGTTAATTGTAAATAATATGCTCATTTTGAAACTTATGAATAATAAAAAGGGAACGATTTTTTAGACCTTGTAAAATTCTTACAAGTAGCTATTTCCAAAACGTGGTCGCGACAAAGTTTTAATATATATTGAAATATAAGCTGTTTAAATGTGATTGCTATAAGTGCATAAGTAAAAAACCGGGAGCGATCTCCCCTAAACTTTCTCGAATATTCTTTTCTAAAAAAAACAGGGGATGGGAACTCGGGATATAGACATGAATTTTAATCCATTTTAAATAGAATAAAATCTCGTAGAAAAAAGAATAGCACACTTGTGAACGTCAAATAAAACGTGCATAATAGTGCGGAATATTATTAGTACTTTATAAATTTGCATTCGTTTTTTGAGAAATCGGAAATAGCGTAAATTAGTGCTTTCAATAAACGGGAATTACTAAAAATTTGAAAGAGGATAGAGAATTAGATCTTTTACTAACATGTGAAATTTCATTTATCTATCGGAAATAGTACTCAAGTTATAGGCTTTTTAAAAATTCAAACTAGAAAAAGTACCACTTCCGTTTATCGGAAATCGCTCAAAAGTTGATCAGAATCTACGATTTTGATAAAATACTTATATATGAAATTTCATCAACCTAGCTGTAACGGTACTCAAGTTATCGTATTTACAACCAGACACACACACACACACACAGACATGAGGACAGAATTGCGAAGTCAAGTTTTTACGACTCGATAACGCATAAAACGCCAAAATGTTTATATATTTGTATTAATAATTTTTGCTTGATTAAAATAAGTCCTCTATACTTCGGATGTGATGAAGGACTGAGGAGTAAAAAGGTGAAAACTGTCAAAATTTCATATTATTTTTGTGCACGATTACAATACTTTCTCTATACTTCGTATATACGAGAAAGTAAAAAGCCTTAGCATTTTTAAAAGTACCGAAAAACTCAAAATAGCGGAGGTGTTTTCGGGTTTCATGACAACCATCATAGTTTTCAACCCTTTTCGTTTGCTGTTTAATACTTTTATGTATCAAACATGGTAAAAATAATTTAAAAGGCTTTAGATCGTAAATTGTAAAAATAGATATAAACAAACCATATCCCCTTAACTAACAGTACTTTATGATATGAAGTTTCGGGAATTCCAATATAGCCTCAGCCACGTAATAAATTACACAACAGATTGGTGTTGTGTAAATTGTCCTTGACACGAAGTATACAAGGATATAATCGTGACTTGTTAAAAATAAAACAAATTTAACTTCTTATTTTACGAAGTGCTACATCAGCATAATAATACAATTTTCCCGTTGTTTATGAATTGAGTCAGTCTGAGGCGTTTAAAAATGTGGAAATCTTAAATGAAGTCAAAGTTTGATGTATTTTTGTCGAAACTAAGCGAAGAATTGCATAACATAAAGTATTTCTAAACACACTATTGCTTTTCACTTAAAATTACCACTATAGGTTACGTTTTATTCAAGTTAAAGAAAATACCAATATATTAAACAGTCAGTAAAATTACTTTTATTCTAAGCTAGTGGGTTCACATTTTCCTCAAGCAGACTTGACTCAGGTCTTTTCATGAACCCGCTGGTTGACTGGTAGAGCACAACAGTTCTCTCAGCTCTAACGGGTACCTGGCTCCGGTTGGGGGTAGAAGCAAGATTTGGCGTTGTACTGACCGTGGTTTCTTTTTTTTAAGACAAATAAAAAATAATCAAAACAAAGCTCTATTTCATCTGTATAGGGACAATTCGTTATGAACGATTAATACACGTTTTAAAGAAATACAAATAAAACTAGACGACCCAGTTTCCAGTTGGAAAACGGTCTGTAGGCTGTACTGCACAACACAAACCAATATTACATTACGCCCACCCCAATCTTTGTAATGTCCTCTAACTCCAAGTGAGTCCCCCTTACTAGACACAAACTTCGATCAATCCCATGGGGGCGTCTATTTATGGCTTCCAAGCAGGAACAAAAAAAAGGAACATACTAAACCGACTTATAACAACCCAATATATATATATATATATATATATATATATATATATATATATAATCTCCAGCGGGTGTACAATATAATGCTTTATATTATAGTTACACTATCTAAGGAGTAAAGGAGTAAAGTATTGATAATTGCCACGTAATGCTAAAGCGACATATATAACGCAAATCATACACCTAAAACAAAGCACCTTGAAGCGTTTAGTAAATATTAGCTGTTATGTAGTAAAACTTCCTTTCTATCGCAATTCAGTCGTTTTGTTTTATCAAAGATTTAAATGTTTATTTCATTCCACGGCTAACGACAGCCCTAACAATTGTTATTGCATTTAAAAGCTTTAAAGATTTTCATTATCTTACATACTTTGTAATTTTACTATATACTATATCTATAATATAACCAAGTATATTCTGTTGAGTGGAGATAGTACAAATTGACGTGCAGCGTCAAGTCAACATACCGCCTGACGTGCAGACGTAGCGGGCATGACACGGCAGTGGTTAACAAATTTTACAAGAAAACCTTTGCTCTTAACCAGATGAAAAAGGAAACAACCGGAGATAGACAATGATGATTAAACAGCCGAAACAATTTTGCCGAAACAATGTGTTTATATTTTTGTATACATCAATGAGTAAACATTTTCGGCCAATAAATAATAATATTTTTTATTATAACTTACTCAAACATCTTAAGTTAAACAAAATAAAAAAAGTAGTCTTTTATCATCTAAATTTAACTTAATTTACTGTTTAATTAGGGTAAGGTTTTAAAAATATTACTGCTTCTATCTTTCGAATTGTTATCTAGCAATACCAGCCCCCCAAACATCACACTTTACAGTTACAAGCAAAGTGACAGTGTTACAAGTTGTACTACTGGATTAATACAAGCAAATGATCGATTTGTATTTCATAGCGATGTTGATTTCAATTAAACTTAGCAAATGCCATTCATCACACTCGAGTCTCTTATATAGAGACTAAAAGTGTAGAGACAATTTCAAATCCCAAATAAAAGAACAGTTACATGTCATACAAAACAACACGGAAGTTCTAAATAAACTAATATCCAATTTTCACCAGGGTTTATTTGAGCTATTAGTAGGCCTACCATATAAAATTGTTCTATCTATTTTAATGGCTTAATTGAGGTATGAACATTTTAACTAACCTTAATCCTAAACAGATTGCCATCAATTGTAAATAAAGAATTGAAAACATACAGTACATAAAGAGGTTAGTTATACTAAAACAGAAACTTTATACTAAATCAAAGTACTGAAGCTTACCTTTTTTTCATAATAACTACACTGCCAGTAATTGAAAACAATTCAACGCGTTAAATTTAATATTACACCTCGTACACGTGTTGCGCCAGATAAATATAGTATATTAAGACATTTAAGTAAAATAATAAATAGGCCAAAAAATAGGATAAAAATCAATATGGTAAAACCTAACCCTAACCCCATAGCCAGAAGCATTAAATTTTTGGGAGGCTTTACTGGATCATCAGAAGCTTGACAAAAGAAAAATAATTTAATGAATAATATGTAACAGGTAAATTGCACAGTATTTAATGCAAGCCATGCAAAATATTTATTTTTTAAATTGGAATGTATATTATTATTTAAAAAAAACAAGTGTTTCAGGATGGAAGATTAAAAATAGAATAAATTTTATTAGTTTAAAATGACAAATTAATCAATTTTAAATTGGCTGCCTATAGTCTTTAAGTTTCTTATTTTTAAACCTTGCTTGGATTTCAACATATTTTTATTTCTTTAATAAAAAGACACTTCTTAAATCAAATGCAAATGAAATAAAGTATATATATATATATATATATATATATATATATATATATATATATATATATATATATATATATATATATATATATATATAAACATCACGTTCAGTAGGCGCGCAATGGTTTTTGAACGCAGCCATTACGTGATGGCGCAGCTATTGAAGGTGATGTCGCGTGTGGTGTGGTTGGCTAGACATGCCTACTAATTCGGTCCAAATTTTAATTAATTCATAAAAAATTAATTAGGCATCCAATTAAGTCAAATTTAGTTTCAGATTGCATTGTCTTCATGTCTTGACCCACGTGCCAAGTGTGAATCGTATCGGTCAAGTAGAAGTTTCCGAATTTTCACTCCTGCGTTTCCGTCTAGACAGACTTACGACTGACGACAGAGGAAGTGAGTTAAATAAAAGCTTGTAAAAAATATTTGGTTTTAATATAAGCCTATCTATTAAAAAGATTAAGTAAAATTAGAAAATATCTATGGTCTACCCTTTATATCTATGGAACAATGTATAAAGTAAAGTTTCCCTTTCAAACCTGACGGTCTATGGGGCAAGTGAAGCAGAGTTCACTTGTTTCAGTGACCTCAGCATATGAAAAGATAGTGTGGTCAGCACTATTCCCAGCCGCCTTTACTATCCCTAACGTGAGTTAGGTACCCATCAGAGTTGGGTGGACTCAGGGACAGTCTACTGACTTGAACCCGGATTTGAACTCAAGACTTACGTGTAAGCAGTCAAGCTCTCTACCGCTAGACCACTCCGTCCCACATGGAACAATGTATGTTACCATTAATTTTTAAAGCAACAAGAAAAGCCAAACATTTACCATGAATAATAGGGACATCAGTGTAAGCCCTTATTACATCAGTTGTGTTCAACTTTGCCAGCTCAGTCATTGCTGTGGAGTTACTCAGCCAAAGAGCAGCTAACCTGGTGAATGTGAAGTGGTAAACATTCCCTGAACGTGATGTACAGTAACACTCACTGCCGCCAGTCTGGCAGTAGCTGCTCATATAAACTGTGCAGAGCTGGGGGAAAAATAAAATAAAATCTAAATTTAGAAGAACAGTACAAACAAAATATTATTCTGGGCTTTTTAAATAATGTAATGGTTAATTGAAAAATAAAGCTTATACCTTACGATCCAACTTAGTTCTTATATATAATTTTAGTCATTGAAGTGTTTTAAGGCATTACGTAATTTTTTTTACCATCGTTATGGTAATAATGGCTGCCAAAAACGATGATTCTGACTTTCTGTTTTTAAACAATGATTTATGGTAATTTCAACAACACATACTTGTAATAGTTATTTATGTGTTTTATTCAATGAGACCAATCTAGTTTTAACAATCGTTGATTAGTGTTTGATGTAAACTTGCCTTTTATAAATATTTTCAGATTAATAGCTAAAAATATTGAGCAGAACATAAGATAAGCAAAACTTCAACGGGGAAAAAATATAACTTGATAAAGACAACACCCAACTAAGCCCATCTATTTGCTTGCTGTGTATTTGAATGGGAAGAATTCTAGCAGACATGTTTTGCTGAATGGTCAATCGCATCACAACAACACTACTTAAAAACTAACCCACCATAACAGTCATAGCACTTTAGCCATTTAAACACAAACAAGTTTTTTTCAAAAAGCATTTTCCAGGCTATAGATTAATATTGATATTAATATGGATATCAAATTAAAGGTTTTTTTAAAATGTTTACATCATCTTGAACAATAATGAAGATTAAAACCTTATGCTACTTATAATGCTAACCTAAAGCATTTTCAAAGTTTTTGTGTGCGTTCCTAATTCTATGTTGAAACACAGTCATGCAAGTGAACACAAATGATATAAAGTTTTGTTAACTGCACTAGTGTATATCATGCTCTTGAACGTTATTTAAATACAATCCAAATCCTCACTCTTCTTCTTCTCAATTGTAATGTTGAATGGGATTTCCTCCAACACAATTAGATTTCTAAGTATTACATGTCAATATGTTATGTGACATATAGGGAGCTGACTTCATTTTAGCCTGCTTTTCTTTCTGAATTAACTCATAGCCAATATCCTTACAATAATTTTTCTGTATTATTTTAACTTAAGTGATATTTTTACTAGATTTTGTAAACCTTTATCAAAAGAATTTTTTTTTGAGAACTTTAAACCTTCTTCTATAATAAAAAATAAAACTTTTCTTACAGTTTGAAACTGAAGAGCACCATTCTTTCTAAACTGAAATGGAATATCAAGGTTCCAATCAGTTGAATTTTGACCTTCCAGGTTTATTTCCCCAGTGAGTGTGATGACATCAACTCCCTCTAGAAGATCGCCTTCAGTGCATGAGTTGGGGGTTGCACTGTAAGACAATGTTACAGACTGTCCTGAAATAAAAATTCATTTATTAATTTTGCACTGTAATGGTAAGACAATGTAAGACTAGTAATTAGAATCTAGATTCTAGTAGCCTATTGGTAATACAATTTCCAGTAGAGGGGGGGGCACTTGAAATTTTTGTGGGGGGAGGGGGGAAGCTGTTAAATCTATATATATATAAAAGCAATGTATGTTTGTGTGTGTGTCTGTCAGTTTGTCCTTTATGCAATACTACACCTCGCATCACATTGCCGTGAAACTTTGTGAAGTTGTTGAGAATATTTATGGGGAGGTTTCTGCGTAAAAAAAAATTTCAAATTCGCCAGGGTGGCGCCCCGTCAGGGTGGCGCCCCGTCAGGGCGCGATTTGTTTTTTCTCTATATACGATATATAAAAATAAAAGTCGATTTTGGTTTGACACCATTCATCCGATCGCTATCATACTTTGGTGAGTTCATTAGAACACTTTGGGGAAGGGTTCTGTAAAAAATCATTTTTAATTTCACAAGGGTTGCGCCAAGGGAGGGTGCGATTTTTCTCTATATACGGTATATAAAAATAAAAGTCGATTTTGGTGTGACACCGTTATCCGATAGCCATGAAACTTTGGGGGAGTTGATTAGAACAATTTAGGGAAGGGTTCTGTAAAAAATGCTTTTTTAATTTCGCAAGGGCGGCGCCACGAGAGGCTGCGATTTTTCTCTATAGACGGTTTATAAGATTTCGGTTTCACACTGTTCATCCGTGTACCATGAAACTTTGGGGAGATGATTAGATTACTCAATGGTATTTTTCTGCAAAAAATATTGTTTAATATTGCAAGGGCGGCGCCCCCCGGGGGGGGGAGCGATTTTTTAAAATCTATACGCGGTATATAAAAATAAAACTCGGATGCGGCTCATCCGAGTGCCATGAAACTTTAGGGAGTATATGAGAATACTCCCGAGAATATTTCTGCGAAAAAGAAAACTAAAATTTCTTATGGGCGGCGCCATAAAGGGTACAACTTTCGTCAATACACGGTTTGGCGCCCAGAGTTTTAGAGCGACTATGTTGGCACTTGGCATCCTTTATAATATAAATGGTAAACAGAAATATATAATTACTGGGGAAGAACCCGGGCGGGGCTTCGCCCCTACCAGAAGAGATGCATGAAAAAACTGTGCACGCTAAACACTTTTTTTAGATTAGAAAAAGTTCCTCCCTCCGGGAAGGAAAAAGTCTGAAAGAAACACTGGTGTCAAGCTTAGCCACTACCCGAAGAATTGCATGAAAGAAACCACTTTTTAGATTAGACACATTAATTAGACGGTAATTTTATTATAGAGTATCGATGAAGAAATTTCTTTTGAGTTGGGGAGGGAGGGGAGGGGGCTCAGACGTTCTTACGCGGGGGATGGGCTTCGCCCCTACCCGAAGAATTGTATGAAAGAAACTCTTCACGCAAACCACTAGATTAGACAAAATTTCCTTTTTATTCAATGTTTACCCGAGAATCAATGACGTCATATTACTGTGTGCACTCTCCGGCTTGAGATTATTTTCTACTCTATGCTCAATACGACGTCATATTTCGTTTTCGTTTCACTTGTGTTTTCTCTAGAGCGTTCTTGTCAGATAGATACATACACAGATAGATAGACAGACAGCGAAACTATTATTATAGATATTTAGATAAATTTCTGGTTTATAATGTGCATGGGCTCACACATTTGGCAGCAGATGTTAAGAATTTTGGACCACTAGATTCTTTCAGTGCTTTTCCATTAGAAAATGTTTTGGGTATGTTGAAGAAACTTATTCGTAAACCACAGACACCACTAGAACAAGTTGTTAAGAGGTTATCGGAAAGAGCAGTCTCAGATAAAGGATTATTTTCATCTCAAGATTTTGTAACTGACAAGCCTTATCCTTTTCCAAAAAAAAATTGTCTTGGGCCATTGCCAAATGGTGTTAGATGTGATCAATTTGCTCAAATTAATTTTAAAGGTATCCTTTTTTCCATAGATAATGGAGAAAACTGTGTTAAAATTGAAGACACAATCTTCTTGCTTAGAAATATTCTCATTATGGATTTGTCTTCTGAACTAGTACTTGTTGTTGAGCGATTTCTAACATGTTAAGATTTTTTTCAATATCCATTATTGTCCTCAAAATTGAGCATTTTTGAGGTGTCAAATCTTTCTGGTAAATTAGAGACATTCAATGTATCAAAAATTGAACAGAAATGTGTTCTCTTACCATACAAAAAGAGATATGTGCTGCTTCCTCTGAATCACAAAAATAGTAGAATTTGTTTTATCTAATCCATTTAAGTCTTTAATTTTTATGTAAATACTGTGTATTCATATTTGTTGTAATTAGTATAGTTTATGTATTTAAGTCTGTATTAAAGTTAAAGAATGTACCACCTTCTCGAAACTGTTGAGGACAATGTAAGGATGGTGATGGTGGTGCCAGATGTGTGGCTGCTGCCTGGCAAAAATCAATGTTACTGGCCAAGCACACCCACTGCTGGAGATGCATGGGTGCGCAATGCAAAAGAGCCATGTGAGAGCTGGCAGATTTTTACATATGAGAAAATTCCGCACAGCAATGGTAAGAATTAATATATTTCTAAATTACCAACAATTACTTACATTAAAAATTTTAAATATTAAAAGTAACATATACTTAATATAATACAATTATATTATTGTTTTTTAATGTTTTATTATAACATTTAGACATTTTTTATCACATTACAGTTTCCTATGAAAAAATAAAATCCCTTGAGAGAAAGGCTCTAGAAAAGAGTGATGTTGAGAGCTCAAGATCAGAGCCACATCGGCAGTCACGGCCAACAATTAGATGGTATATATTACAATCTCTAATTTAGATCTTGAGCTAAATATATAGCCTCATTTAAGTTTGTTATGTTTGTATAAATAATGAAAATAAAAATTTTGCATTTGGAGTCCCAATGATGATTCTAAATCATCAGAATCATCACCTGCCAGAAAGAAGCAGTGCAGAGTCGTGGTGAGCAGTGTTTCTTCCAGACATTTTTCTCCGGGGGGGGCACTTGAAATCTTCGGGGGGGCGGTAAACTTTCTTCGGGGGGGCGGACACTGTTAAAAGTATATATTTTCTATATAAATTATATAAATTTCATTTCGTTCGGGGGGGCGGTAAAATATTTTCGGGGGGGGGCTTCGCCCCCCCGAAGAGATGCCTGGAAGAAACTCTGGTGGTGAGGCGGAGGTCAAGGTCACCTATACCTTCCAAAAAATATTTGCCACAACCACCTAAAGCTTCCAAAGCTGTTCCTAAACCACCTGCATCATATGCACAGTTTTCAGCGTCCCCTAGTTTTTTCTGGCTGTAAGTGTATTGTATTTTTTAAAATAAATCATTACTTTGTTAGCATTCTTGCTTTTGTTTGTAAAAAATGTTAGTAAAGATTTGACAAGAATTATTTCTTTTCTAGTCACCCAGCTAAGTACAGATCAGCTGATGCCGTTTTTTAAAAAGATTCTGGAAAACAATGCAGAGCTGCTTGAAGACATCCGGCGCCTGCATAGAAAAGTAGATAGACTTGAGGCTAAATTAAATGGTATGGGAGAGGGTATCCCAGAAACTATTCAGAGCTTGCCAGAAGGGTACACCTTTCCTTTACAGTCAGTTGAGCAAATAGTCAGTCTGGATAGTTGTCGGAATGACACTTCAGCACACAAGAGGATGGTAAGCAATGTTATAACAAAATTACTGTTAAATTAGAAACTAGAGTGTATTATATTTCTTTCAATACTTTGTATTAACTGAATACTTTTTGTTCAACAGAGTCTTTACCTCAGGGGTCATCCATAAATGACGTCACGCTTTTTTTTTTGACGATTTTTACCTCACACGTCGTCACAAAAAGCCAGACCCCCCCTAATATAACGTCACAACTCAGCCTACAACCCACCTCAAAATTGCTGTTGAATTTTTCTTACAACATCGATATTTTTCTAAAAAATCTTGTCAGAACTCTGTCAACATGGAGTATTTTTATCAAATTCCTATTATAATTTATTAAAACCGTTTTCTAAAACGCTAAATAACGGCTAAAACTCATTTTCTAACATTGCTTTTTTATAATGCAAAAAAGTGACGTCACACCATCTAACCCCCCCCCCCCCTCATCACACACCGTCACAAAATTACGGACCCCCCTCTCCCTACAAGTGTGACGTCATTTATGGACGACCCCTCAGCAACTATGGAGGTAAAAATGCTCGGCATGGTCTCTTCAGGGTTTTAAAAGAATTAATATGTCCTCAGTTGTCGACACTTTACTCATTTGAAGGCAAGAAAGGAAAACTGAAATTCAGTGACCTCCGGAACCTCAAGATGACAATTTTTGGTAAAATGAAAATGGCTTCTTTGCTTCCAATAACTTAAAATTATATAGGCCTATTTGTATATATCTATACAGAAAGACAAAGATGAGGTAAATGACAGATATATGGACAGAAGAATTGACAAGATGCTGATAAGTTTTACTAATATTTTTTTTCAGATTCTATACTAAGATCTTTTAAAAATTCTACTGTAAAAGAACTGGAAAAGGGGACAAGTGAATGGCTTGCCATGTCTGGTGACTGTGCAGGAGGGAGGAAAAAGAAGAGAGGGCCCCAACTAACAGCTACATAATCATAAGGAGGCTGAGTGATTATTTTAAGCATCAGCCCCCCCCCCCCCCCAATCCCATGTAAAACAAAATTGCACATCTTCATTAATGATATTTTTTAAAAATCAATTTTTTAATAGAAGTATAAGTTTATTCAAAATAACATAAATGCCTTAGTGTTAACTACATTGTAAATCTGTGAAAATGCTGAAATTTTTTAACAAATACTTTTACCCCAGTTAATTATATATGTATAAATTAAGTATTTTGTTTGAATGTTATTTTGTATATTTGTTTTTAATTTGTTTGTATAAAAATAAAAGTCAATACTACTATTTACATATTCATTTTCTATCAGTACTTTATAATAAAGTTATAGTTTTCTTACATTTGAATGGATTGTATAATACAGATTTTAATAGATGAACAGTTTTTTTGTGAATGCATTGCTGGTTTATTACATTTTGATTAAAGTTTCTTTCACATTTTGAAATTAACTTTGTAAATACTATGACTGATATGAGAATGGAGCTTTTTGTATGTTGAAAATCATTATTTGAGCCTAGTTGAGGCCAGGATATAATACAGGATGAGCCAAGGATTAGCCGAAATATAGCCATTATTGGGCCAAGATATAGCCAATATTGGGCCAAGAAATTGCCATTATTTGGCCAAGATGTAGCCAATATTGGGCCAGGATATAGCCAATATTTGGCCAAGATATAGCCAATGTTGGGCCAATATGTAGCCGGGATATAGCCAATATTGGGCCAAGATATAGCCAATATTTGGCCAAGATATAGCCAATGTTGGGCCAATATGTAGCCGGGATATAGCCAATATTGTGCCAACATTGCGCCAACATCATGCCGAGTTTCACTACCAATGTTTGGCCAAGGTTAAGCCAATGTTGAACCAAGATGTAGCCAATATTGGTAACCAATGTTTAGCCAATATTGGGCCAATACACGTGTGCTGACTGGGTATTTTATAATTTCCACTGTTTGTACAATTTTGCATAACGTAAAGAGAATATTAAATACACGCACATTGCTAAAACATATTAAAAGGATCAATGTCAAATATCGTTTTCGTTAATATTCCTAGAAAAAGTGGATACATTTAATAACATAATAACTGTAGGTTAGAAAAATATAATTAAACTGTTTAGTAATTTTGCCAAGGGAGGTATTTTAAAAATAAATTGAACTAAAAATGTGTGTGTGTGTAATGCAAAATCTACAAGACGGAATAATTGTTGGAATAATATAATTAGCAAAATGTGAATGCAAATTATGCAGACGTGTAAAAGTACATTATTGTTGGAATATTATAATTAGCATTGATTGATAAAAGGCGATCTTTTATTTATTTTATTCACTGAATGTACTGTTTAATAATTATATTTTTAAT